CCAAACCGGATTAACCCAGTTTAAAACTGGATAATTTATTCTTTTGAAGACTATTATAAAGTCTAAGAAAGAAATAATAAAACACAAAAAAGTCGAAAGACAAACCCATACCACAAACAATTTGATTTTTGAAAAAAGGACACAACCAACAAAACATAAGAAAAACCACAACAAACCCAACATAAAACGTTGTCACATAACAGGACCTCTCACAAAAACCGCATGCAATCATACTCCCACTCCTGGCCTAAACAACCAGGAAGGACGTCCTGAGCATGCTCTATAGCCGGCCTAACCCACCGTGCTACATCCACGCTTTGTGACCACACTCCTATTTTTAATAAGAGCTACTCAAGGGTGAGTAACTCTTCAAAATAACTGAACTAAAACAAAAAGCTTTTGTGAAAACAACTAACTAAAATCATAATTAAAAAATATTAAACTAATAAAAGTTTTATAAAATGTAAATTACATTATGCAATACATAGATCAGAATACAACACCAAGGACGAACATCCAAAGACAAAACACAAAACGACCCTACTACACTCGAGAAAGAATGGCCAACTACAATCAATATGCCGCCCACAATCACAACTCAAAGGATTTAGAGTACGACTTGACTTCGCAGAAAAGGACTTCATTGAACTAGACCAATGACCACCTCGATGTTCAAGTATACGTACAGATCCGAGTAACCAGGCATCCCCACCAAGCACAATCTACACGCCATTCCCAGACAAGGTCAAACACAAAGAAGTTCTCACCAATGAAACAGAAAAACCTGACATAGCCAACCATTCTGAAATCAGATTTGAGTTTGTTGCGAAAACCCAGTCGTTGTCTTGAGAAGACACAATGATTGAATCTGGGACTTCTCTGTTAAGAAAACCCAGAAGAAATAAGATGTTCGCCAAATACCAACGTCCATCATCCATCTTCGAATTGCAGAAAAACTATTCTAAAAAACTCTGTAAAACCCGGATGGGTGGAACCTGATCTAAACTACATTTTATGATTGGATAAATTAGATATTTTACCAATGTAAAGTATTTAATATTAACCAATCATGATCCATCTAACTAACAATCCACTTATTTGTAAGTGCTGAAATTACTTGTAGTTTCAGCACCAGAGAGATTTGAATTTAACTTAGAAACTAGTTGAACTCTCCCGAGTACTTCAGCAGCCGCAATAAACCAGTATACCCTAGATCTATTGAGCCTAGCAGAGACTAGTTAAACAACCTGAGACTAGATAGTATAAGAGTAAGATTAGGATCGGTATTAGACTAAGAAGTTGCACGAATCTATCCGGCCGAAAATAAGATAGCGTGACGAGCAGACGGTGTACCCTATCCGAAATTACTCTATGAGTTATACACTTCGGTCCTGACTCAAAATGTAATAGATTTATTACTCTTATAAGCTCAAGAAAATCACGTTTTGAGCAGCGAAACCCTAAAAAAGTTTCACAAAGTACCGAGCTGCCCCCGGCTAAAATACATTGAAACTTTGATACTCACCTGGCTAATCCACTTTTGGTGGTAGTAAGCTCAGCAGCTTCAAGTACTAGCTTCTGCAAGCGCGACCGAAAGTTTTTCGTTTTTCTCTGAAGGCACGTGACGGACGACTTCTTCTAACAGCAGCAGCACGAAACGAATGCCTAAGCATGCCGAAGTTTTGCGGACAGCCAACGCCCTCATGTGGTCCAGAGCATCACTTGATCTTATCTCTTGCTCACGTCTCTCAGCCCATGATTTTGCAAACTCGTAATCAGTTCCCTCACAAAGTTTCCGAGCTCTTCCACGGCGCACGCTAACATGAACCTCTGCAACACCTCCTTGCCCACACTGCACTAGTCAAAACTAGTTAGAAAACTAGTTAGCAAGCATCAAAACTAGTTAGAAAAGTCATCACAGCTTGGCCACAAAGCGCAGGCTGGCACAATAATTTCGTCGCCAAGGTGAAGAATTGGATGCTATCTGCGAGACGTTTAAGATATCCTTGCCACGCCGGATCCATGAAAAATTGAGGAAAAGTAAGCAACTTCAAAAAACGCCTCGCAGCATTTCCACGTTGACAAACCGGAAAAATTTTCTCTCCCTACGGCGTCTTGGAAACACTCTCGTCCCCACCCACTTCGATCACCAGGACGCCCATTGCAGCATTCCATCAAACTGTGTTTCTGTCAAACTTTTGGGGAGCTCGCCCTTCAAAAATTCTTGAATAATAATTGTCCAACCGAAGGATTTTCCCTTCAATTTGCTGTGCGGAGAGTTTTTTGGTTTTCCGTGCTTCATCTTAGGTAACTGGGCATTGCGTTAACAAATCACACAGCCTTTTTTGCACTCGACACACCGTGCAACTCTTTCACAAACCCTGGACAGAAAGTGAGCAGCTACTCTGACTCAATTGACAAAGGCGCGATGGGCCATCCGTTTTCACGAAGAAGCTCAATCCGCGCCTCACTACGTAACTTAACCCGCAAGGAAGTTCAATGCTTTACTCCCTGGCTGTCGACAGAAACCACTTTCTGCCACCCCAATTCCAGCAAGCGCTATTTGTTGAAGACTTTGGCTTGGAACTTCTGCATCTCCACTGGCAAATCACTTGAGCCACAGAGCACTGTGGAACAAGAAAAACTATCAATTCGCAGCCTATCGGAACTATTAACGTAAAACTTCAAGTATTCAAGTGTTTTTACGTTCGTTTCTGATCACCAACCCCGCACCTGTTTGAATCTAATCCATATAAATTTATTTATTTTGGCATTTCAATTATAACAAACGCCCAGAACTGTTGATATTTAACTTGTAATTATCTAATTCTTCTCACCATTTCCTTGAATTACAACACAACAAAACCTCCACGTTTTTTATCAAAATGCTGATCACATTCCTTGATTTCTTAGAACAAACAGGCAAAGCCCAGTACAGTTTTCTACGCTTTGCTTGATCTCATTATTGATACTGTTATATGTTTTTCCCCTAAATTATACCTTTACACAAAGGCCAAGATGCAATCACCGTCACCCCTGTCACAGGGCTAGCATCATCCATCTTAGCTCTAAATTGAAGCCTGACTAGGTAACCAATATCCACATGCTTCGCCATACTACTCATACTCACAAACTCAGTCACTTAAAGGAACACTCTTCTAACTATATTTACTTCCACCTCACTAGATATTCTCTCTTTAAACCCAACTCACCTCCCAATATGCTGACTAACACATATATTCAACTCTTCATCAACGTTTTCCCGGCATTTCTCGTCCAGTTTTACATTTCTCGGCGAGCAATAATGCGAGACATGATATTCTTTTCGTATTCTTACTTGGAAGAACCTTCTACTTTAAGTACCACCGGGTTCACGCAGGTTCGTGACACCGTTAGAAATATTTTTGCGCGACTCAGCGGAGAAGTCATCCTGGATCACCTAACGCTGTCATTGACTCCATTAATAATTCCCTAACGGCTACGAAAACTGCTACCTGAGTGAGCAGTAAAAAAAGAAAAACTCCGCTAAAACGATCATTTTGATTCGTGTAAACGAAAACTCATTTTTCAGGCCACAATTGTAACCTGAAACTTTGTTACTTAGTCCAACAAAATAGTATTAGTTAAATGTAAGCAGGCCAGGCAAACGCATAAACAATATTCAGCTATGAGATAGATCAAAATATCCCTAATGGCCAAGCAGCTAAGACTTTTTGTCTCACACAACAAACATCAAAGTTCGATTACAGCAAGGAACCTCTTTTTCCACACCAGGATCACTCTGAAAAAGTACTGGCACAAAAAAAACCTCACAATTAGAAAATATGGGAAAATGCTCAGGGCTCGCCCTATAGCCTAAAGATCCCGGTTAGAATCCGAACCATGACGGTTTTAGTTTTCTCAAAAATCGTGCAGTATCAGGAACCTAGGGTTCCTATTGTTAAAATCCTTGTAATCCTTGTTTAATAATAAAAGCGATTGAAGGAACCCTATTTGGTTGAAAACATCACCATCATATTACGGAGCTAGCAAATATATGTCCTTTAGCTGTAGTTCATAACTGTAATTTAAATTGCAGACAACAAAACGTTTTGGACAAACTGAGAAAAGACTGAGATAAAAGTGAGTTTACTACTAACAACAAGATACAATTTTTGCAAAGATTATCGAAATTTTTTTTGATTTGTGAAAAAAAACGTATGGTACCGTTTTCTTGTATAAACAAAATTTTCTTTATTTTTTTTGAAAGTTTCTGTATGTATGGAGTTGTATGTCAATAAGTTTTTCAGTTGTGTAAATTGTATGATTAGAAATTTTGGTTAAACCGCGGAAAATTGCATAACTTTCGTAACGCTGATCTAATTGTTGTAAAAATATTAATAAATAATTACGTATTTTCAAATGGTTGATTTGGTAATTGGTGTATACTGGTTGGTACACACAGCCGTATATTCTTTCGCCTTCAAAGAAAGCGAGTGTTTAAACACGTTCCTGTTAGTGTTGCTTCTTGACTTTTGATATCAAACGGCTTTAAAATCAAATCACAAATTTGTTTTTTAGATTTTTGTTTTTAATAAACATAAAACTGCTCAGAATCAAGAAAATAAAATCTAACACATATTTTGTGCAATTTTGCAGTTAATTTTAATGGTTGCTTGGCTCACATTTTCCTCGCAAAATCATATACTTCAAATACCTCCTTGTAACCCGAAAAACACGGGGTTGACTGAATTATTTTTATTATAAGTTCATTATAATTTTTCGATCGTATGAAAACATTTTGAAAATATAGTAGAAAAAAGAAGCGAATTTTTTCTCATTAAGTTTTTTATCATCATTTCAACTTTTAAAACCCGTTTTTCGACCTTCGAGAATTTCATACCTCAATTTCTCTTTCTGAAAATATACAAAAATTATGTTTTTTAACCCATTTTAGTTATAGGGAAAAACAAATTTTCTGTGCTATCTGCTCAGCAGCAGACAAATCTTGTTGTATTTAGACTTCAGCCTCGAGGTCATTTCAAAAAGCCAGTCGGAGATCGAGATCCAACTTACAATGTTAAACTCTTCCGCTACCATTCAGTCCATTGACAGTATCGAATGTGCAAAAGAGAGCGATGGAACTGCATGTCCAAACAGCCCAAATGTAGTAATCTCCGGAAGCAACGCAAACCTGGCCTTCGATTCTCTTGGCATCGGCGAGTCCTACCGAGTTGCGGTGTCTTTCGTAGTTTATGAGTTGAGCGGAATAAATCAAAACTTTTCTGGTGAAGTTGCTCTATCAACCTGCACAGGTAACTAAGTGTTCTGAAAAAGCTCTTAGAAAATAAAGTTTTAATGGCCGAAATTTATCTTGTTCAAAAATCAACTGAGTATATCTGAAATTTAGTCAGTTTTGAACAACTTTGCAGGTGTTGATTGAACGAAACTTTTTGACCAGTAGACCAAAAAAGAGAACTAATAGCAAGTCCGCATTTCAAGTTTTTTATTTACACTGAGATTGGCGGTGCTTTAAGGACGCATAGCCTAACCGTACTGCAGGACGGATAATTGACAGACTTTAACAGGGGCGGACTTTAACAGGGGCAGACTTTTAAAAAGTTTTGGGCAACCAGATTTTCCGAGCTCTCACAAATTACTGAAAAAATCCTTATTTGGTCAAATTTTTGGCACCGCAGAAATGCCAGTTTTTCAGAGCTCTCACAAATGAATAAAAAAACCCTATTTTGACCAAATTTTGTGCACCGTAGGCAATTTTTTTGAAAATTTGTCAAAGACATGCAAAAAAGGCGTTCTTAGGGGCTTTTTGGAAAATTTTAGACCAAAAAACTGCATTTTTGGCGCGCGCTCCCCCTCAAATTTAGTATATTGGCGCCATAGGCGCTTCCAGAAATCTTTTAAGGTCAGTCAGCCAAAAGTGGATATCTCAAAATGGTACAAAGGGATGACCTTTCGGTTTGGCAGGTCGAATCCCTGAGAGATAGCCCCACCCCACCCCCTAAATCCACTTTTGGATTTTGAAACAGATCATTTGAAGTACAAATGTACTATTCTAACGCTGAGTATTTGACCTATCGTTCTGATTGTTATGGATTTCATTAAGAAAAAACGATTAATGATGACGCTCATAACGACTTGATCTCATTCTTTGTTTTTAGTGCCTACTACACCTACTGATGACGTTGACTGGTACTCATTGTCAATAATTGATGGAACGAATTTCGAGTTGCCTGATTCTGCCAACAACTACGAGATCACTTTGGTCCCAACATTCTGCACTGGCAACAAAACGCTAGTGCACTATGCGGGGTTTCCCCCCATCATTTACTATGTACACACAGGATGTGAATACCGGATACTTTACGCAAACAGATGCGAGACGAGCAGTGGTGAAATAACTCCTTCCCAATACGTGGAATTCAGCGATACTTTTTGCACAGGTAGAAATTTTCTTATGATAGAATATTGTCTCGCAGGTTTTCAGGGAGGCCTGAAAAGCGTCATCGAATACTTAAATATTGCCCAAAGAAAAATCTGAATTAGCGTTTATTTTTGTCCACTAGTGTGTCTGTGCGTAATTCGATTTTCAAATACACTAGTGGACAAAATTAATTGCAAATTGACGTGTTCACTCTCAAAAACTGCTTTCTTTTTTCAAGGTCCATATTGGTCAACATTTATTGGGAAATTCATCAAATATTTTAGATTGACGTACTGCAAATAATCTAAACTACAGTCACTGAAAGTTTCAATTTTTGATTTGAATCACTTTTTATCTTTTTTCCTGGTCTGAAAGCGTCAGTTTTCACCATTTGTTATAGATTTTTCCAGCTGTGTGAATTTATAAGACACTGCAGTGGTAAGCAAATTTTTCACACTGAACAATGAAACTTACTCGTTTAAAATGTTTCACTTCGCATGATCAGTTTTTACTGCTCCGCTTAATCAAAAAAAGTTTTTACCCCTATAGAAACCTTATGGCATATGGTGAAAACTGGCAATTTCAGACCATAAAAAACTGCCAAGTGATTCAAATCAAAAATCGAAACTTTCAGAGATTGTAATTTAGATCGGTTGCAGTAGGTCAATGAAAAAATTTTAATGAAACTGATCCAAAATGATCCTTGAAAGAATTCATTTTAGAAAAAAAACCTAAGTTTGCGTTTAATTTTAAGCTTTTTCCCCCCACTTAAGCTTCCCCCACCTCAAATATGTGCATCAATTTTATGTTGTAATGAGGGCTTTACAAGGTTAAGTATTAAGACCAAATTTGTTTGTCATAGCCTAATTAGCCCGCATACCATTTTGTAACAATCCGATTATGTGAACAAAATTTTACTAGTAAAATTTCGCTGGTGTCGGGGGAACAGGAAAAAGAGCCTAATTTTGTCCACTAGTGTAACGTTGCTCTTAATGTCCTTTCAATTTGACATATGAATTCTCTCAGGCTTACTTCAAAATGGTTGGAGGACTAAAAAGAAGACAAATAGCACTCTCTGATATCAAAATATAAAACAGGGGAAAAATGTAAATTTACTTATAGGTTAAAAAATAAATACTTTTGAATGTTTCCAGTAGAGACGAAAGTTAATATATTGGTCCATTAAACGCAAATTGTGTTATTTTTATCAAATATTTACCAATCATAACATATTCGCAAAGCTGAAAAAAGCACATGGGAGCAAGTAATCGGAAATTAGACTTTTTCCAGTAATAATTTCTTCAAATCTGTATTAACTGGATTGAAAAATACCAGTTTGTCTAGCGTTGTGAATCTGCAGGAGGCTCAAAAGGCATGCGACCCGATTCCAAACAGGTCCAGTAAGTTTGCTAACATGAATTTTTGTTCTTTGAATAAACCAATTTTTTCGATCACCACTTATGTGTTTATTGTTTATTGCCTCTAGTGCCGCACTGCAGCATAGACTATTATTAACAATTGAATTATTCCTATCAGCGGAAAAAATTGAGTTCCAAAATAAAAAAAAATCGTTTTTTGCCGTACATTTTTACGCTATCAAAAATATTCTCTTTCCTGGTGCTCAAAAAAAGCAAAAAAATATACTTGTTACTGGTTGTCGTTTTTTGTTAGTTTGTGTTTTGACTCGAATCAAATAGACCTTTTTCCGAAATGAGACTTTTGTCAGATTAGGATACATGTAATCAGTTTTAGTCGGCTTAAGTTTTTGTTCCGGCTACTAAAAGATGAGATAAATTTTGTATTCAGAGTAGCTGTATCTCAGTTCGTTCTCTCCGGTATCTGAAATAATCATCAAAATCGAACAAAGGATTTATGAGATCACATTTCCTCAGTGTCGAGAAAAATCAGTTTGACTTTTTTTAACCTTTTTAGTCTAATTAGGAGCGAGTAACGCAAAAAACATTGGCTATAAAATATTTGATTTTAGTTGTCGAAATTTGAAGGAAAAAACTGAAAAATTTCACAAAAAAGTTTGAATTTTTGAGTTTTTAAAAATCTTGTTGATTTTTGGTCAGATTTTTTCCAAGGTGAGTTTAGTCGAATAAAACTGTCAAACTATGGACAAAACGATATCTCCAATCTGAAAAAAAAACTAATTCAAGTTGTTTTGGTTCCAAAACAACAGTGCTCGGGTTTTTAAATGATGATTGCACATCAGCAGGTAATTTTTTGATAAAATTTTTTATAAAAGTTTTTTATCACACTGTTTTTTGCTAAGTTGGTCTAGGTTTCTTTTTTGTCTGGAAGTCTGTCAGCTTCCTAATTTCTGCTCTGTTTTCTTTATAAATGATGATTGAAAGCTGTTTTGAACATTGTTGGCCCTCCCTGAGAGATACTTAAAATGATTTGATGTGATACCTTTTGAGAACCATCTTTTTTGTTTTGTGTTTTTATAAGTTTTGCCTGAAAAGTAGTTTGCTCATTCTTCTGCCTATTTTTGTAATTGCACAAAACAAGGTAAAATATTGTTGAAGGTTTATGCATACGGATAGACATTTACAACTATTTAGTGTAATATTGTCTTGTTGATGTATAAAGTTAGGTAAGTTTTGTTCTTTTTTTGAAACCTTTCTTGACGCTTAGTTAACTTTTTTTGAAACCTTTCTTGACGCTTATGTGCTGAAAAGGGGTTTTCATATGTTTGCAAAAAAAACTGAAAAATTCATCAAATTAGTTTCAATCACAGCTTTTTTTATTTCATCAAACTTTACTCAAAACTATGAAAAATGACATTTTTTTCTTCATTTTTTTCTTATTCGAGGTCTAGTTCAAACTAGTCTTCTTAAGCTAAACGACTAGAAATTTTTGTTCAAATAAAGATCAAGATAACTCTTATGCTGTCTTTAGTTTTATTTGAACGTTTGATTTCATTAGATTACAAAGTAAATAGTCTTTTTCCTTTTTTTGGTTTCCACTAAAATTTTAAAATCTCGATTTCACGAGGAAAGCGTTTGCAATTGAGTAATCATTAATGATTTGTTTTCATCTTAAAATCTGAACTCAAGCTACTTTTTATGAAATAGCTGAATTGCGTTTTATTTTTTTTTGCAGTATACCCAATCAATTTTGTACTGCAAGTTTAAGCGAAGTTGGAGAAATGGTAAAAAAAAGCTGTATCAAAACAGGAGAACTTCTTATTGTTGTTGTACTTTAAAATACTACTTTTGTTAGCAAAAAACAATTTTTGTCTGCGATTAATTTTGGGGTTTGCTGCACACAATTATTAAGAGCGCATGATCAGAAAATGAGGAATTCAGAATCACATATAGTCTGTACCCGAGTCCATTTTCAAAATTGGATTTTAGTCCCTGTAATCAAAAGTTGTTTTCTTGCGTTATAAATGAGTTCATGAAAACTGTTTTGTCAAAATACAATAAATTGAAAACAAAATCTCTGCAAGTTGTAAGACGACTGAGTTTTTTAAATTTTTTTAATGAACATTTCTGTTCCACCCAATTTTTCCTGAAATAAAAACTGATGAAAAATTGCCAGGCTTAGTAGGAAAACGCTTCTGCTGAGTTTTTGGATCATGAACGGAAATTTTTTGCTTCGGAAAAAAAAACTGCCATGGCTTGTATTGGGCTTCAAGTTATTGAACACATGATTATGATATTATCTGTTTTCGCTCCCTAGAACATAATATCATGCTTTTTAAGCCATCTTCAGTCACTAGTTTCTTATCCTACTATGTTAATTATTTGATACTACAGACGAATAAATTGCAGGTAAACTTTACTTAAGAAGGGTATATGAATAGCGGCGGTAACATTAGGCAAAAACAATTGTACGCGAAATTAAAAACGTTAACATTAGGTGAAAACTCTGATTAAAAAACTGTATATTTTAGCGGAAATTGTGTGTGAGAAATTACAAAGTTCTATTGAAATATACTAACGTGTTGAGGGTTTGCGAACAGAGATGGGACTCTTAATGAAAACTAGAGCCGTTTATAGCCCCGCGCGCCCACCAGCGGTCTTGAACCGACAAACAACTTTGTAGTCTTTAACCGCCCCTGGTCCATTTCGTCCTGAGAATTAGGGGGATTTCTGCTGAAATATACACTTTTTTAATCAAATTTTTTGCCTAATAGTAACACTTTTCATTTCGCTAAGTATAGTTTTCGCCTAATATATACAGCCCCATATGGATATATACTACGGTATGCTCCGCCTACTGTTAAGAATTAATGAACTCTTAAGAAGTTTTAAAATTTGTTTAGGCTAAAATTTACTTTTTCGCAATTTGAATTTTGATTTTTTTGTTCAGTTCACTTTCTTTGTCAATAAGAAGGCAAAATCCACTATCGAACAGCAAAAGTGAAAAAATTGCAAAAAACGTCATTGACTTCTAGTTTCCAAATTCTCAAATTGGGTTTATTTTATCAAATGGGGCTTATTTTATCAAAAAATTTTGATTTAAAAGCTCTCTGAAAATCAAATAGCTTTAAGGCCATCTATTTTTTTCTTTAAATTTTGCAGGTTAAATTTTTGAAAAGAATCAGTCAGTATTTTTTCTGCTTACTTCCGGTCAAAGATTTGATGGAGTTTTTAGAATAAAACTACAGCAGACGTTTAAACGCAAATTTACCGCATTTACGAAATTAAACTGATATTTTAGCAGTCTTTTCTGAAAGTTTGCTACAAATAATGCAAACTTATTGTAATTTGATTCAACAAAGCAACGTTTGAAAGTTTTGAGAAAATTTTGATGTCAATTATTTTGAGTTATTGAGCTCTACCGAAACCTTGCAACACCCTCGTTTTTCCAGAGTTAAAGTTTTCCCCACTCCATTTGTTCTAGAAAATGACTGCCTCAAGTTTTTCTTGGAATTTCAAGCCAAGAATAAGCGTTTGTTAGGCGCATGCTTACTCAAAGTTGTTGTCTAGTGGCGGCTCTATATTAGATTCACTAAGTAGTGAGTGTGTAATCTTCAGAGTTGTACAAATTTTCTACGATTGTTACTTAAGGGGTAAATTGTCAACCAGAATGGTGGAACCAGTTCTGGACTAGTATTTATAAACCAATTATGTTATTGATAAAACTATCCCTACAAATATTACTAACTAACCAATCATATTCCATCACTATCACTGACAATTAATTGTAAGTGCTGAAACTATTTGTAGTTTCAGAAACACAACAATTTTAACAAATCTTAGACTACAGTTGTTCTCTTTATGGACAAGCTCCAAGACTAACTCGCAAATACCAGTATACACTAGATCTATTGAGACTAGGAGATATAAGAGTGAGATTAAGATTGGTATTAGACTAAGAAGTTTCACGAATCTATCCGGCCGAAAATAAGCTAACGTGACGATCAGACGGCGTACCTTATCTGAAATTACTCTATGAGAAAGCTACCTCTGGCTTAAACTCAATGGGGGATTGAACACCGACGCCATGGAGTGCTATTGCCGATAAAAACTAGTTTCAAGCACCATAATCTCTCAGTGAATTTAGTTTTTCTTAAGCAATTATTGTTGTCGTTTTTAGCCCCTGAGACTCCTGTGCCAGCTAGCTCACTGACCCTTGTCAACTTCACCGAGACCATGATTGAGATCAGTGGGTTTGGAGTCTCTTCGGGTGAGTACGAGGTGATCGAAGTCGAATTCATCACTGGATCTGGATGTCCAGGTGGTCCCATTCTTCGCAACTTGCCCACGGGAGAAACAGACCTGAAGGCGGAGGATTTGATCCCAGGGTGTCTCTACACTTTGAAGTACTCGGCCGTGTGTCACGCTGATCAAGGTTCGGCAGAATCTGCCACCAGACAGGCAACGCTAGGAGATACGCTGTGCACAGGTTATTTGCTACGATATGTAAAACAATTTTTTCAAAACAGATAACAGTAAAACTCAATTTCAATTTTACTTTACTAATATGAAACAATTATTTCCTGTTTGGAGAGCACTCTGAAAAAGAAAAAAGGCTTAAGGAGCATTCATTATCTTAATTGTCATAGTCATGGTTGTGTCATAGTGGAAAAACCCACAAACTGACAATATTCACCAAAAGTACTCATAAGTGTTGCATGGTCATAGTCATAGAGGTAAAGGCTTACTATAAACTGATGAAACAAGCAACCTCTTGTCGCCCTTTTTTTTCAGATTAAAAAAAATTATTCAGTATAACCTCATGAATAATAAGCATTTCCAACCTAAGCATTTTCATGGTTTATCTAGTTTTATCAGTTTGTGTTTTTTCGTCTTTTCTTATTATTAACCTTAACACGTCCGTCTGTTATTTCGCCTTTAAATAATTTATAATTAATTTCATCGTGTATACCTTATCTTCTCGTCAAATATGGTTCTAATTATAAAGTGACTGTAGTTTGTACTGATAACCCAATTCTCTACATGGTTTCAGTTCCTCGGGAAATCAAGTCGGAGTCTTTGACTGATTCAGCAGCAGCAACTTCCGTTTCCTTTTTGGCCAAAACAGTTCAGGTAGAAGCTGTGGAGGGCAATCTGTACCGGTTCAAGGTCAAAACAGTGACCCCTAATGGGTCATATGACGTGGATGCTCCTCAGCCTGACACGGGAACTCTGACTGTGTCACTTTTGTCGCCTGCAACCAAATACGAATTCGAACTTGAAAATGAGAGCCAGTGCGCAGTTTCTTCTGCTGTGTCGACACGAAGAACTGTGTGCACTCGTAAGAAATTCCATACTGTTTTTGTTACTTTGTTGAGCTTTCATATTACTCTTCCTTGCTTTTTCAAGGTCAATTTTTTATATGACTGAAAGTCAAATTATTATTATAATACTTTCTTATATTAAGACGTAAAAAAAATTGAAAAAAGTTTTGCGAAAAGTCTTGTGTATAATTTTTGATAAGCGAGGATCTTTTGCATGCTGCAACAAACTGGCGGATGTTATTGGAGCTCAGCTCAAAGGCGGGTTTAAAAGGTCGGTTTAATAACTGAAAAAAAATACAACCTTCTGAGCATCTTCTCACTGAACCAGTGTATCGCCGGAACCCCCATAAACTCGAGCTGCTGTCGGCTGTGATGGTTCTACGCTTTGCGCAAAAAATCAAGAACTATCAAAAATGAAACATTCAATTTTAAGTATGAAAATGCCATTTATCACTCGAATATAAGAAGTCTACCTCATTGTCAAGTAAAATTCAAAAGTAATTACGGAAATGTAGGAAAATATCCCCAAAACATAGTATGACAGAGTTATGATTAATAACAATGAAACTTCAGTACGAGTTGTAAGTACGCTCAATTGCTGATGGAAGTCAAGAAACTCATTCATTCACTTGATGATAGTGGCAAATCATTTTAATTTCCGATCCTTTTTACTGCAAGTTTTATAACCTTTTTGTATTAAGTGGCCATTTGTCGAAAGATTCATTGAAATTTAAAAAAATACTTGTTTTAGTGCCGTCGAAACCGAAGGAGTCGTCTTTTCTTCTCAATATTGATGCTACAAATACAACTATCAATTTCACTGCTGCTGGACAAACTTTTGAAGCTGAATCTGGTCCTCTAGATTTCTTCCGATTTGACGTGTTTAATGAAGACGGAAACCAATCCTTCCTCTTTGCAAATGGAACTTTTTTAGTGCATCTGCTGCCTGGGTCTAACTACGTTGAAATGTCAACTGTCGTGAATACGGTGGAAGGCTGTGGTGATATGGTATCGGCTGAGACCCTGAGTTTCACAATCTGCTCTCGTAATTATAATTCTATCCTAGTTTTTTTTTGAGCTTTGTAACTCCATTTTTGCAACTTTTTTGTACCCCAGCTGGACTTATTAAATTATGTGGGGTTTATAATGTCCAATTGCTAGAAAGACCACGTTTTGCGAACTTATCAGCGCCACATGAAGTTGTTTGGCAGAAGATGAGGTTGTTAGCACTTTTTGGAACGCTCGGACCAAAAAAAAGCGTTTTTATCGGCTGCTCCTGTCTCAAAATAAGCATGAGCTTTCAAGTTATTTGTTGGCTTGGTTATCGAAAACGACTGCCGTGAACTAATTAAAAAATGAACAATTTGGAAAAAATTGGTTGCCAGAAAAGATTGTGGGATGGGGGGTTCTGGATGCTCCTGGATTGTAATCTTATGTAGTCTTTGTAGTCTTAGTTTACTTATGTTGTCATTTACTCGATAGAATATTTGTGGTACTCACAATAAGGTTTACGAACTCAGTTAAAAACTATCTATCTGAAAGCAACTTTCATTGCGTGTTGACAATAGTTTGTTACCGCTGGTGAAAAGCTTTTCAAAAATTTGTTTTCTTCCAAAAATAAACAAAAAATCCCAAAATTTTTTAAGTTAAAAGAACCCAAACTTATCTATCTGAAGTAATGTTTGCAGTGCTTCAAATTAAGTGAAACTTGTAGAAAATTAATTTAAAAAAGGAATAAAACATGTTAGTTTTCAGCTACAATGTGAAAAAAAATATCATTTTAAAAAGTTTTCAATTAATCGGAATTGACTGAAAGCTTTAGACGAGAAGGACTGTCTCGGAAGAGGTTAAAAGATGGCGAGGAACAACAATTTTTTTGTTCGAAGACCTCTAAGATCCTCGATGCTATTTTTTTTATTCGAGATTTTTGCGAGTGCTGCTTGGGTAGAGCTGGGTGCTGCTTGGGTAGGCAAAAATGAGTTATGAATCTTTCCTATAAATGTGACTGCTGGAATCTTTCTAGTTTTTCAGATTTGACGTTTTTCAAAAAGTTCCAAAAGAACACTTGAAATGAAAAGTTATTTTTTAACAAAATTTGAAATAGCCAACTCTACGAAGAGGTGCTCCTAGGGTACTATGAGTGGTTGGAATTCCTACCTCCAGGTTTGACTGCTCAAATCATCTTTGTTTCCAGGATATGCCGTTTTTAATGATTTTTCAAATTTTTCAAAAAAACCTAAAACACATCACAAAGTTTTGAAATTCTCAACGCTATGGTAGAGTGCTGTCAAGATTCTCTCAACGGGTTTATATCTGGACTCCAAAAACGACTGCTCATTGCGTTTCATTTTTCCAGATATGACGTTACTATGATTGTTTTCAAAATTTTTCAAATGCTTAAGTTATAAAAAAAACACTTTCCACCAATTGAAATTGTCGACTCTTTGGTGCAGTGGCATAAGCGACCTCCGAGCTGTTTACTTTTGCTTAATTTTTTTTCTCAAAGTTTACACTTATGATTTTTCAAAAATATTCTTTAAACTAAGGATTAAACTTTAGTGGTTTTCGCAAATGGCATCGTTTCGACAGTTGTATGCTGTCGGCCATTTCAGGGTTTCAAATCTGAGTTACAAATACAAAGATCTGAAATCCAGTAGTTTGTTTGACCAATTTAGTTCTGAAGGAACCTTTAAGTTGAAATAGTTTTTATCGTTGAAACCTTACAACAAAAAGTTGTTGATGTTCCCGTCTCTTGTTACGGTTGTATTCATTTTGTTTTTTTTTCATATGTTTTTATATAAGCTATTTTCACGTTCATTAATCTGTGTGAGCCACCGGAGGTGCGTTACACGCTAGTCTTGATTTATTTTGTGATGTATTGTAGATAAGATGTCTTAGTTTTACGTTCGTTCTGTCTTTAGCACCGGAACAGATCGACCTCTCCTCGGTCAAACTAACAGTAGGACACACTTGGTTCACGATTGGCCCTCTGAAGAACGGATCCGAAATTCAAGCGGCCGCAGGGAGCATTGCGAGTCTTGGAGTCATGCAAATAGGTTCATCTTTTCACGTTTCCGAAACAGTGAATGTATCTGGGGTTTCGATTAGTGATGACCACCCGTTCACTATGTATGGTATCAATAAATGTGGAGCTACATCTGCCAATCTTAAAATTGACACGTGCACAGGTAATTCTCTTGCAAACATGGACCATTTCATCATCAGCAATTTTCCTGGTTCAAACTCTGATCAAATTATGCAAATGATCTCGATGCTTATTATTTTCTGTAAAAAGCTGGATCAATACAAGTCCAAGCTGTGGATTGTATATTTGGGTTCCTTGCCGAGGAAAATATTAAAACGAAATTCCCATCTGAGAAAGAAAGAGAGAATTTTTTCTCCCAAATCAAGTTTTTATACGAAATTGTCAAACATTATAGATAAAAAAATGACTTGGAAGAGGATAGGCAAAGGGAAAAGTAAATGCCTACTAAGAATCTACCCTCAAAAGTAAAGGCTATAAGTAATTCTTGACTTTAAACATATTATTATGTTTATATCAATATTTATTAAATAACTTATGTTAGGGAAGTTTCCTATATTATGCTTGCGCTTAGCAAGCGTTATCAAACTAGAATATAGTCTTTTTTTCGGGTTAACAACTTGCTTAACAGAATCTTTTGAGTCACTTGAATCTTGGTTCATAATGAATTCAAACTTTTAGGCAAAACGCCTGGGACGGCAGAGGTCATGGGTCCGAATCTGACCAGAAACTGTTTTTTTTTGCTAGAAATATTTCTTTCCAAAAAAATTTTGGCCTATAGATTGTCGGCTGATTTTTTGTGGGGTTAGCTGCCACATCGTAGAATTAATTTTTGCAGGCAAATTTTATTGTATTAGCTTTTAGTGTTTTAAATTGTTTCGAAATTACAATTTTGATTTCTTACTAGCCTTCACTTTGGCTTCAATGATTTGTGCTGATACTTTATCTGCTTAGTAAGCTGTGTTCCGTTGCTATTTTAAACTGAATCTCTTACTCTGCATGTTTCCTCAGAAATCTAATTCGATAAAATTTTCTTTCTAAAGATATGGGATTGAGTTTTCTTATTTTATTTTTTCTTAAGACGTTTCGGAAAATGTTTTCTTTTTTTTTTCACAAACGTAGTTTCTTTGATAACCCTTTCTACCGATTTTCAAAAATTGTATATTATTGGAAGGACATTATACTCCTTTGTGTACCTGCATACTCCATCAGTCTCTTTTCACTTTACTCTTTTGTCTACAGCCTTCGATAAATCTGTGGGTGAATATTTGATTTTGTTTTCGTTTTCTCAAAAACTACCGTCCGAAATCTGAGATTGTACGTTCAATGGATATAACACGTAATTGGAAGCTCATCTGCATTAGTCGCCACTCTCAAACTTTTTACACAAAAGTTATCATCCTCAGAAAACTTGAATTTTCAACAGTTTTTTTTCTAAATTTTTTGAATTTTCTAGATTACGATTATCCCATATCTTATAGCTTGAGTACGGCTCAAGAAAAGAGTTACAGGAATCTCCCTTAAATTTGCAGGAAAAGTCATCGGAAAAGTCCTCGGAGCTTTTTGGCCCTCGGAAAAGTCAAAATTTTCATCTTTTAACGATTCTTGATATTTTTTTTGGAGCAATCAAAATCACAGGTTGCTTGAATCTCTGTTACAAAAAACTATTATTTTTAGAAAAGTTCAATTTTTGTTTTATTTTACCGTCTTGAACTTTCTCAAAAATTATTCGAGAACTACTCTTCCGAATCTTTGTTACTGGGTTCAATTAAATTACAGGCATTGTTAAGCTTTTTTGCATAAAAAATACGCTGAAAAATTTTTTACAGAAAAATTTTTGGTTCCGGAAAAGTCAAATTTATTTCTTCGTGGGGTCAGATTTGTGGTATCAAGGGTTTAATTGAATTAACATGTGAGTTTTCTGATTTTTGAACGTTTTGTAAAGATTTTTTGGCAAAACTTTTTGATTTTTCATACTCTAAGAAATCTAAAATGAAAAATTCTACCAAAAAAAAAGTTCCAATAATTTTTACCGATCCAGCGACTCGTTTTTTTGTTACAACCTTGGGAAAAACTCCAATATCTCAAAAGTTTTCTGTTCTTCTCCTTTATTTTAGTAAAAAATACAACAGTTTTTGGGCAAAGTCCTATTTATGAAATTATACTGCATCAAAAAATCAAGCGTATACCTCCAGCTTTATCTGGCCTCTTTTTTTTCAAAATTTACGAAAAGTTTGATTCACCTAGTTTTTTGACTGAGTTTTCAAACGTTTGTGTTGTACCGCAAGTGTTGCGAAGCTCCGCTTTGCCGTTGCATTAACTTCACTTCAAAGTTAGCTTAAGGCTGTAATATGTTATCGCTTCGCCATGAATAAAATTAAAACAAGGAAAACATTTTTTTTTCGAATAAATTGAATTCTTATTTAATTTGAAATTTGAGTAAAAGAAAAATTCTAGCTCACCATCTCACTTTTGTCAGACTACGGTGTAAGCACAGTACGACTCATTTATGCAGTAGCCTTATAAACTGAAATAAATTAAATTAGAAAAAATTTTGTATATAAATACAAGTTTTGATGCTAATTTTTTTGAAGCGTTTGAAAAATCCATCAAATATGACAAAAAGTACGATTTCTCAAAAACTACGTAGAATTAGACGGCTATATTATCAGAATAAATTCGCAGCCTTAAATCAATTTTTGATAGCTTTCATTCAAAAAATTCAATCCTGTTGTTTTTGGTGGTTATTTATTTTTACATATTCTCTGTACTAGACAACTATTGCCAAGTACGTAAGTTGAAGTAAATCATTCTACGATTTTTTTGTTACATGAATAAAACTTTGTTTAAAATTGCATAACGTGTAGCACCGTAAACTAACAATCCATATTGCATTAATGGTTTGACAATTGAATTGTAACAGTTCAACAGCACTGCTTTAGGATCAAAATGTCTCATTGTCTAAATAACTCCTCATTTTCTACGCAATTTGGTTTTTTTTGCAAATAATTTAAATTTGAGCAATTAGACTGAATGAAAACACCCAAGTTTTGCAAATTACTCTTGGATTATGATCAGTGTGATTTTGTATGATTTTTAGATTGGAAGCACTTCTTTTTTTTTCAAAACTATTTAAAGTAGTTTTATCAGAGTTGAATGTTAGTCTGTTGCAGTTCAACCATCAATTTTTTCAGAGCAGCCATATTCAAATTCTTCTAATTTTGCGCTCTTGCAAGTGATTCAAATATTATCAGCAAAAATAAAAACATTGGAGCTGTTAGCTACAAAATGCATATCCTTGATATACATTAGAAACAGAAAGGAACCAAGTAGCGAGTCCTGTGGAACACCTTTTGCAATGCGTAAGCAATCAAATGGAGCATCAAATACGTACACGCATTAGTGTTTTTTAGATAAATGAAAAAATTGTTTATTTGCCACGAATTCCATAAACTTTTATTTTAGATAGCAAGATTTTGTGAACAGCGTATCAACGGCCTTTTCAAAACATTGAAAAAACTGCATTTTAATTTTTTTTGAAAAATGATTGTTAAACATTCAAAACGACGAAAGCGCTATTAGCTTCAATTCTTTTAAAGATTCTACTGTGGCATTTTCTGAAAAACCTAAAATGACGTTCATTGAGCAAGTCGAACTGTTTGGGGTAACTGTTAAATCTAGTGTGCATTACTTTTATAATAATTTTACTGCAGCTATTGAGCAACGAAATAGGTTGGTAATCGCTTAAATCTGTTTCGCTGTCAGGTTTATGAAGATGTTATTTTGCGTTTGCGTATTTAAGTGAATTAAGAAACAATCCAGTTTTGAAGGGAGCAATAAAGAATCAACTGTTCGTTAAAAAGATGATGCTTACTTCATCAATTCCTCAAACTTGTTTTGTTTCAAACTCTGGCTAACACTGCTTGTTTGAAACTACAACCTATCAGCAAGATACATTGATTAAATTGCTTTTGCAAAATTAAAATTAATGTTAACACCTTCAAAAGCATCTGCCAACTTTGGGCCAATTGAGGTTAACAAACTCATTAAAGGTATTAAATGGTTCAATTGCATCCGAGATGTGTTTTGTTTTGTGATTACTTGCCGAAACTCCAGATGCACCTGCGTTTTTTCCGTTTATCGTTTTTAAATTTTGAAAATTTGCTCGAGTCTCCTTTTGCATTAAGTGATTTTTTTGTTTAAAAAAATGGTTTTTGGCTTTTCTTAACAATTTTCCTACCATTTTTGTTCATAAATAAATCTATTCATTTTAAGGATTTTATCGTTATCACATTAAAACTGATTTTTTAAAAAAAAAAAGTGTCTTCTACAAAAGTAACGACGTGTATTCTCTTCGTGTATTTCTCAAATCAAAGACATCCAGATTCACATTATGCTATTTTTCTAGATTGACTTCTAGGGCTGCTACCAAAACGATGCTAGTTTCTTGTTGCTTTAACAAAAACGAAATATCGCGGCATGAAAGGCTTGATTTTTCTCGTAAATTAATCTCTAACTTGTCAACTAGATTAATATGATCTTTCATTCATATCATTGTTTCTCCTCCCCTAGTAGGTTCATTATTGGCAATTTTTGAGTTGAAACAGGCTATTTTGAACATTTCTGTTTTTTTTTATCAGTCTAGCTTCACCAAATTTCTGTAAAACATAATATATGTAAAATAGCAATCTAGAAAAACAGCAGATTCACATTATGCTTTTTGTCTAGATTGACTTCTAGGGCTGCAACAAAACGAAATATCGCGGTTTGAAAGGCTCGATTTTTTTCATAAGCAAACTGTTTCAAAATTCAATAATGCCTGGTTGGTGGTATACACTGGGCTCCTATAGCGTCTTTGGCTCCTCGCAGTTTTTGGCAATTCGAACTTTTTTCACATTATTTAACTGTCTTGTAGAGAGACGAGTGTTTCGATTGAGTAACCAAAAATGTGAAAAGGCAAACGACAAAAATAAAAGAAGCCTAAGATTGGGAGCTGTCTCCGTTTAACAACAATTAGCTGATAAAAACAGGATTGAAAAAAAGTTGGAATCAGTCGTCAAGGAGGCGGATAGATTGCAAAAATGTCTTCACCCCCCATTGGTTTTTTAATATGAAGTAACAAAACGTGTTTTTTCTAATTTGATTGGCTTCGGAAGAGTGATTACAAGGACTTCAAGTTCATGGTCATTTTTTTCAAACCTCTCAAATTTGATTGTCCGTTTACTGAGAGAGTTTGCGAGCCATTTTTTCTCTTTTCTTGATGCAACCGTTAAAATGATTCTTACCAAAATGTATTATAATCTATTATTATCCATGCAACCCCATTGCTTGAAAAACCAAAAAACTCCGCGCAAAAGGTCACGCGACATATATCGGTTGTAAACGATAGAACAGATAAACTATGATGTGCTTTTATGCTAGTTACTTCAGATGTGAACAAAATCATTAGCAGTAAAAACAGGAAAATATCCAGTCATAAGTCATGAGAAAAAATATGTTAATACTGGTAATTATTCGCCCACCTAAATTTTCCAACAAAAGAGTTGGATTTCATGTCTAAAATGTACTGCCTAAGTGGTTTTCCTCCTATTCTAAGTAGAGTTAGGTGATAAAGGTAAAAACCGCTGGTTACTGGCAGCTAACAACATCCTGTTAATTTCTGTCGTGCAAATTTGGGAATTTCGGTCATGCGTGGGGAAGATTTAGGGCAAGATATTTCCGTTTTATGTATAAAACACAAATAAATAGGTTTTTCTGTGGGCTTCAGCATGATGAATACTACCCATATGAGGTTTTTTTGAAAAAGTGTAAAACCTTAAAGTTCCACTCATTGGTAACTTCAGTCGTATCGATTTAGCCGTCTTTTGATAAAAATCAATTTTAATGCCTGCCTGAAGCGTTGTTTAAATGCAGAAGACCATACATTTTGATCAGTTGAATTGTTTCGAAGGTACGACAAAATAATGACAGTCTATGAACGGCTGCCGTTTTCAATAGGGATAAAAGTTAACTCAAAGTTGAAAAAGTTTTTCCATTATGGTTTTTATCAACGAAAGTTAGTTAAGTTCCCTCATCCAAGTTCAGGCGTAAGTAATCGATTATAACGGATTATTATGCTGAGCTTTTGACAATTATAATTGATTATCATTACCAAAATCTGGTCTTTAAGGGGTTTCTAATTGATTATAATCGTGATATTTTCCCAGAGATTATAATCTCTTATTATCGATTATAATTGATTATAATCGATTATAATTTCTGTTTTTGCCGAAATTTTCCTATACTCGAATTATATCTTATGGGTCATTATTTTTGTGTCATTAAGAAAACCTCTAAAAGAGAGATCTCTTGAACACTTTGGTTTACCTGAACACAAAGTTTTACCACGAAAAATTTTTTTCATAGAGATCCTTTCATATGAGGGGAAAAGTTCCCGCGGTAGATGAAAAATAATTTTTCCTAATCAATCATTTAACTAAATCAAATAGCTGATGTTTTGTTGTTTAAAAAAGCTTAAAATTTGCATAACAAAACAACTTTAATGGGGAAGAAATGGATAAAAAATTTATAAATTTGAATTATTTGAAAACTTTAAAAATATTTTTCTCAGTTATAATAGAAACCAACGTCCACAAAAAGCATAAAAAATAAGCAATTTAGATGCAACTTCGAAGAAGAAAATGGACAAACAAAAGGGGTTATAATCAATTATAAACGATTAAAATGGATTTTTGCGCGAACCTAATGAAATAGAAAATTGAATAAAAATAATGGATTATAATCATTTATAATCGATTATAATTGTATCAAAAAATAGACGAATAAATAATCGATTATAATTGATTATAATGGATTATAATTAAAAGTAATTTGATTTTAAAAAGAGATATTATAATCGATTATTAATTGATTAAAATTGGTTGTTTCTCAATTTTAGTAAGACTGGTACTAAATCGTAATATAATAGATTATTAACGCTTGAAACTGGATGCGGTTTTCAATACATTAGCACCCGCACTCAGTAAAAAGAGAGATCAATCGATTATATTACAAAATAATAGTGTTTTTATCAAAATTATATTTAATTATAAGCGCCAAATTTAGATGATTAAACAATTTATAATCCATTATTTTGACAATAGTTTTCGCGACATTTTAATAAATTATAATCAGTAATAATTGATTATACTTTTTTCCTAAAATCTCCTATAACCTCTTATAAACTCGTATAATCTCTTATAATATATTATAGTAGATTAAAATACTTTTTCCGTCAAAAATCTCTAAAACTGAGATGTTTTGTCACTCTTTTGTTCATCTCAACAAAAAATTTTACCACGAAACAAAAGTTTTATAGAGACCCCTTCATAATATTTGAAAGATTCCCGGGGTAGGTAAAGTATAACTTTTCAATATGAATCATGAAACTAAAGCAGTATGGTGATATTTTGGTGATCAAAGAAACTGAAAATGTACATCATGAAACAATTATAATCAAAAAGAAATGAAAAAAAAAATGTTAAAAACTGGAATTGATTCGAAACTTGTTAAAACAATTTTGCCATTTTTCACATAAACCAACGTCTACGAAAAGTATTAAGTATAAGCAATTAATGTGCAAGTTCGAAGACAAAACGGGCAAACAAAATGGATTATAAATAATTATAATCGATTATAATGAATCTTTTCGGCAAAACAAAAAAATTCGGATAAAAATAATCAATTATAAGGTATTATAATTGATTATATCTGAACTCAAAAAGAGAGAATGTAATCAATTAGTAATTGATTAAAATCATTTTTTTCTCAATTTTTGTAAGACTGGTACTAAAATCATATTAAACTCGATTATTAACGCTTGAAACTGGATGCGGACAGGTTCGCATAACAAAGGTGGCTTAAGAAATTGTCTGTAAATTTTGAAAGTTACCGAATAGTATGATAGTTTTTTTGTTGTTTTTCAGCGCCTGGTAAAGTCGAAAATCTCACGGCTCTTGACCGTTCAAAAACGTCAGTGAATCTCTCTTGGAAGAATAGTATCCTGAACGTTCGACCGCCGACCCATAACAAGATAAGTTGTAGCTCAACAAATGCAAGAGGTTATTCTGTATCTGCGACCTTTTTCGCAAATGAAACTGACGTGTTTGGAAACGGAACGAATATTTTCAATTCGGCCAACTGGTTTGATCTGCTGGGCGGAACTCCTTTTGAATGTTCTGTTGCGTCCATATATTTGCCTCTGAAATGTTCTGCAGCGTATGAAAAACTAGGAGATGTAGTCGAGCATAAGGAGGTGGTCGAAAATGTGGCCACAGTAAACTTCATCACAGAAGGTAAGAACTATTTTAAACGTGAACGGAAAAAAATTGAATCAGTTATCAAAATTGGTAGTTTTGAAAAGAATTACAACGACATTTAACAAAGTTCATAGCCACTAGAACTTCTCGAAAGCAAAACTGTCAGTTTTCAACGGCTTAAGATATTAATCAACGATATAAAAGGCTTGTTACCTAAAATGAAACCAAATTTTCCGAAGCCGAAAATCTCTTTTATGCTCAGAAGGTGTTGCATGAAAGAAAACTGAAATTGCCAAAAAAAATTATACCATAGTTGGGTTTTTAGAAGCGTTTATTGGAATGTTTTTTTGCCGAACTGTACGATTTTTTTATCGAGTTAGTCATTCCATTTTCTAAACAACCGTGTATTTCACACTGTTTTTTTGCATCACACGATTCCTTGTCGGATAAATTCACACGGTAAACTTTCAAAGAGTTTAGTAGACCATACAAAAATTTCGTCACATGCACATGCATGCAAGAATGTTTGTATCAGGGCGCAACCCCGAGTGCTGCTTTCCTTCCCTCCTAAGTTAAATGAAAATAAATCAGAAAAAAAATGTTGTTGAAAAATTTGCCCTCTCTTAAAAATGCTCTTATCGTTAACTTCGAGATGAGAAACTTATTTTTGAAGAACAACTAAAAATATTTTGCCTGAAGTGGGTGAAAACTTTTAATAATGAAACTTAAGCAAAGGCCTAATATGAAGAGTAATCAACGAACTTTGAATTGGAATCGATTGAAAAGGTGAAATTGCAGTTTGTGGTCTGATTAGGGGTGTATGTATGGATCACAGGGTCAAACTCGAGCTCCCTCAATGTGATCGTTGGACCATGTCCCTGTCACGATTACAGCTACTCAGCCAAAGGAGGCTCCCCTGTATCCTTCCCAGCTGGATCTAGCGAGATAACTGGATTGACACCTGGCACAGCTTATTCGGTTACAGTCAATGGAACCACAGACTACTCGTGTACAGGTGAGTGAAATAGAGCAGCATCTTAAGTTTCCAAGTCCCAAAACGCAGATTGTCTCAGTAAACCTACTCGTCAGATTGATTTGTCTCAATTCAACTATAAAAAAAATTTACCTATCGATCCGATCCAGTTTTCTCAAATTATGGGTTAATTAATCAATCATGTATTGTTCTTGAAATTCAAAGAGCTTGAAGGCTATATTCTTTTTTTCTTTGGAATCTAAAAAAAAAATTAACTTATTTTTTCAGTTTTCTTGCGTTCATTACTCTTTTCCAACTGTCTGTTGGTTGCTTTACTGAAGTTTGTGTTATATGAAGATGCTAGTTTATCAACTGAATTTTATCCGTTGATGTCTGTTTGCTACGTTTAAGGCCTTTCTCATCATATTGAACAAATAGTGATAGGGTTAGTAAAAAGAAATGCTGTCATATACATTCCAATATGTGGACATTTTGGTGCGCATTTTGTGCCCAGCTCAAATCTGCCCTTTTACCTCGAAAAAAATATTAGTTATTACTGGTTACGGACGTTTCGGAAGTTATTGCTGCAGCTACATTGCCTTATTACTGCTTTTATTCAAAGCTATTGTTTTCTTTTTATCCTTTTTTTCGTCATAAATATTTTTAATTGTGGGTATTCGGTTGGTAAGTACTAAAATTAGTGGAAAACAAACTGTTGAAAATTAGCTGATGAAATAAAAGCCAAAATTGCATAAACAATTCCTTATCTCTCATAATAGTAATCATTTTCAATTTTTTTTCAATTTTTAAAATTAAGCCTTGTGCTCATAATTTGCCGGCTTCTAGAATTTTTCATATTAAGAACAAATGAATCAACAAAAAAGCCTTTCAGTTAAAAAGCCAAAAATAACTTTAAAATTCAAGGCTGTAAAAATTTGAGTTTGAACCAATCGTATGTTTTCTATCAGGCTTCTGTTACGAAAATAAGGTCGAAGTTTGTAATTTTTGAGAAATCACATTTAAAAAAAATGTAGTTTCCCGCATCCAAGTTTAGTCGTAAGTAATCGATTATAACTGATTATTATGATGACTTTTTGACAATTATAATTGATTATAATTACCAAAATTAGGTGTTTAAAGGATTGATAATTGATTATAATCGTGATATTTCCAAGAGATTATAATATCATTTAATCGATTATAATTGATTATAGTTCTTACAAAAAACCCTTAAAATCAATTATAATCGATTATAATCAATTATAATCTCTTATTTTGCCGAAATTTTGTCAATTCAAAACTATATTCGAATTATATCTTATGGGTTATTAATTTTGTGTCCATAAACTATTTGGTTCATCTGAACACAAAGTTTTAACACGAAACAAAAGTTTCATAGAGATACTTTCATATGAGTAGAAAGGTTCCCGCGGTAAATGAAATAAAAATTTTCCGAACCAATCATATCAAATTGCTGATGTTTTGGTATTTAAAAAAGCTTATAATATGCATCAAAAAACAACTCTAATGGGGAAGAAATGTGAAAAAAACTTATAAAATTGAATTAATTGGAAAAATAACTAAAAATTTTCTTTATTTTCATAGAAACCAACGTTTACAAAAAGCATAAATTACAAGAAATTCAGATGCACCTTCGAAAACAAAATGGACAAACAAATGGATTATAATCGATTATATTTGATGATAATGGATTTTTTGTGCAAAACTAAAGAACTAGAAATTTGAATAAAAATAATGGATTATATTCAATTATAATCGATTATAATTGTATTGAAAGATAGACGAATAAATAATTGATTATAATCGATTATAATGGATTATAAATCATAATAATTTGATTTTAAAAAGAGAGATTATAATCGATTATTAATTGATTAAAATCGATTGTTTCTCAATTTTAGTAAGACTGGTACTTAAATCGTAATATAATCGATTATTAACGCTTGAAACTGGATGCCGGTGGAAACTAGAAAAATGATTTTGCGACCAATTTTCTGGTTGCTGCGACCACACATTGAAATAAAATTTTGAAAATTAAAAACACTGTTAACAAATATTGAACAGCTTCTTTTTCAATATTTTAAAATTGTTATTTGAAAACGTTGAGTCATAAAAAATAAATAGTTTGAAGTAATTTGACCTGAAATGCCAATTTAGTTCTAACATGTTTTAGGTTGTTCCAGCTATTAATACATTAGTAGTGATTATCACCGTATATTAGTATTAATAATCTAAATGTTTTTCTTCATTTTTTTCCGAGTTTAGCGTAGTATTTTCAATTGAGACTCTCCAGATAAAGGGCGTACCAACCAGATTTTTAAATGCACTTTATTGAAAAATTGTCGCTCTTTTTGGATTGGTGGTTTTTGTTTCAAGTTTCGTTCGTTTTTTGTTTCCAAATGGTAACAATAGTATGTCATAGAGTGTGCACAATTTCAAAAAGAGCAAAAATTTTTAAATAAACTGCACTCAAAAACTTGGTTAGTACGTACTATATCTAGATACTTTAGATATTCTATGAGAAATACTATCTAGTACGCACTATGTCTATGGTATACTTTATTGTATCTAAAACTTTTTTCAGTTTATGAGAGAATTTTTACCAATTTTTTTTGAATTTCAAATAAAATAGAATATTTCCCGGTTGGTTTTTCTTGGGATAAATGGCGATTTTTTGTCTAACAATTCCGATGGAAGTTTGGGAGCCGTCTAGAATATGTTGAAATCTTGGTATTTCTGAGATAAATTTGAATCAGATTTTGAGATATTATTATACTAACCTTTTTTGTAAAGTGGGAAGGAACTATGGCGTTTGTTATGTTTTTTTTTAATTTTAGGGTATTAGAGTCAAAAATGTTTTGACCTAATTTTACCTAATTAATATTTATTTTTGCCTTGTTAAAAAATTTTTTTATCAAAAAAAAAACAATCAGAATTTTGAAACTTAAAAAAAAAAAATTTTTTTTCATCAATTTTTTTTGGTTTTATATCGCAAGCTTTGCAAAGCTCAAAGCTCCAATTGCGTTTTTTAGATTTTCCTCATTTTTTCATTTAAATTTTTAATGCTGATTATTATTTTAAAATTGTTTTATGTTATGATTTTGTTCACTTCGAGCTGAACGATATATTCTAGTTGGCCACGCGTTTTTTCCATAAGTGTTTCTGAGTTTAAAATTCTGTATTATGTACAATTTTAGGTGAAACAAAACTTTCTGACTTTCTTTCAATGATCTTTTGATTCATATGAGTGAGCCCTCAACGAAAGTTCACGAAAATTTTATGGTTATTGTTTATAAAATTGATAACCACGAGAAATTTAAACGGTTAGAAGGGTTAATTGGCTCCTTATATTCGATTATGTCCCTTGCAAAAATTCCATTAACACCCAATACAATCAATTATAATACAGTTTTTTTAGCATTAGAATCGGATTTCCTCAAAATTTTCTTGACCTAAGTTTTTCTCGAGATGGATTGGGCGACAGGGCTGATTTTCAAAACATTTTGAAAGTGTTTATGGCTTTTTTGAGGTAGTTATTGGGTTTTTTGAAATTCTGAAAGGGCGCACGCTCCCCTTCGAGAGAGGAAGAAAAAGAGAAAGATTTTTTTCTCCAAATCATTTCAAACTAAGAAATTTTAACAAAAATAACATCGAATAATATACAACATTATTTTATGAAAAGAGACTCGAAGGGGCCAGACAACATGACTAAAATACACTTTACAGTATGCCCTATGATTCAAAATTAATTTATATTGGTGTCAGGAGCGCTTCGCTTTACTTCTAGGGTCTGTTGCCTGAGAATAGATGTCACAAAAAACTTTAAAGGTTGAAACTCTAATATTCAATTTTCAAGAAACTTTGGTGCGGGAAACTTTGCTGGGAGATTTTCTTTGTCAGAGAAGAAAATGGATCAACTCAAGTCAAAGATATGCTTAACAATCCCCTTTCAAGAATAAAGGGGGAGATTGTTAAGTAGATTAAAATTGTCGACTTTTCGACTAATAAAATGCAGAAGAATCTCAATAAAGAGCTCTAACGCTAGTTTACTATACTTGTTCATACGGTTGGAGCTTTTTCAGTAAATACCATAGGAGGGGAGAGCGTCAAGCAGATCGCAAGACAATGTTAGTTACTATATATCTGGCTTATTTCTACTCAGCCCAAAAATATGGTAAACGTTCCTGGTGCTGGGCATCTACTGATACTTTAACTATCTGAACCGTTATTCAGCAAAAAACTGTTAGTATCCTAAACAAACCAAAGTGTGCTTTTTTCTTTTAAATGTTTAAAATGTTTTTTCTTTTAAATGTTTAGGGGTTAAAGGAGGGGTCAACCTCCTTTAACCCCTAATCAATTAGAGTTGAAGGAGGTTAATAGCTTTGTTTTTAAATAACCTTTTTCAAAAATAATCTTGAACTTGTTGATAATGCTTCAGGCATTATCAACAAGCTCAAATTTTCTTTTGAAAAGTGCTATTTAAAAAACAAAGCTATTAACCTCCTAAAACTGTAATTGATTGGGTGTAAATAGTTTAAAATTAACCATTGGTAATGTTTATGCAATCAACAAACCCTGCTGTGATCCGATTGGATCCCAGCAAGGTTTGTTGATTGCTTAAATATTACCAAAGTTTAATAAGAGAGGCATTGAATAGTAGTGTAACTAAGGTTGAACAGGATTATCCATGGTTGGTCGGGTTAACTTAAGAAAAATGAAAAAAAAAATGAAAAAAATTATTATGCGATTTACATTTTTTTTTCTTCGTATTTTCCCTGCCATGATAGCGCAGCTGTTATCTTTCACGCTTTTAAACGTGGTTGTCGTGGTTAAACTCACGCTAGGAATCTCAGTTTTTCTAATTTATTTTCTTTCAACTTTTTGATTCAATTGGATGTCCTTTGCGCTTTTTGGCTCTTTGTAGTTCTTTTGGCTACTTTTTATGAACTTCCAGCCACGAAAGCTTATTTCAAATGACTTCTGATGTTCTAATCGGCAGTTAATTGTGGCCGCGGGATCAAGTGAACAATTTTTCGACAACATTTTCCACGTGCAAGCTTCGATATCAACAATTTTTGAACAGCTTTACATTATAATTTTTGGGTTCGGGAAACTGGAAGAGCGTCCGCTTTTTTAATAAGCTAATGGTTAAGCACTTGCAGGTGCCCTTGACTTTTTTAGGCTGTTTAAATTTTTGAATCTGATTTTTTTTGTGGTATTTTTGCTCAGAATAATTTTTTATCTTCTTTCTGTCTGTCTTTCTCTCTTTCTTTCGCTCTTCTTTTCCTTATTTCTTTCTTTCTTTCGCTCTTTCTTTTGTTATTTTTTTTCTTTCCTTATTACTTTCTTTCTTTCTTTCTGTCTTTTACTTTTTCATTCCTCCTTCCTTTCTCATTTCTATATTTCCTAATTAGATTCCAAAGAATAGTTTTACGAGTTTGAGCTTTTTATTTCTCTTTGTAAACTACTCTTTGTGCAATTGAAGAGGAAACAAGATCAACGGTTTCTTTTCAGAACCGGACAGTCCACGGTTGGCCCCATCTGCCGTCTCTGTGACCTTCAACACCATCTTCATCAAAGCAAGTCAAAATCCTGTGACTGTCAACTCCGGAGGAATAACTCATTACAAATATCAAATCTGGGATCATCAAAATTCGACAGGGACGAATGGTTTGAACTTAACTGCGCGGATTGATTCCGATTTATTCATCGGCCCCGAAGAAGTTGCACTACAGCCCGAAACGGCATATCAATTCATATCTGTTTTCGCGGACACTGACTATTGTCCCGCTGGCAAAGAGGGCGATGACAATCCGGTTTTGTTATGCACGGGTAAGTTGTTTCAGTTTGAAGGTTTGAGCTAACGAGTTGGCAGATTGAAAAAAAAGAAAAAGAAAAAGAATTGGGAGTTTGTTGAAACCTTGGGTAATAACTTTTTTTGCGGTTTTTGTTTAGAATTGTTATATGCTTAAACAAATAATTGAAATTGCATTTTGATCTGAATGCTTTTTTGTTTGTTGAAATTGATACTTTTGAGTTTACAGCTTTTCCTTTCATGAATACGAAAACTTTCTATGTACGTAACCGACGTTTTAATTTATAGCTCCACTGCCGCCTACGCTTATCCCAGACAAATTTGTAAATGCCTCGGAAACATCAGTGGTTTTTAACTTCGTGGACTTCGACGCATCGGAAGGGATCGCTGTCACGTGGGTATACGACAGCAGCGGCGCAGATGCTCCATCTGCCTATGCACCTGGCTACACTGACGGGACACGAGAAGTGACTGGACTGCCGAGCGGCGAAGTGTTGAATATTTCACTGCAGTCGCAGTATTCGGACAATGGAGTTTGTGAAAACACGGCACAAAGTGCCCGAACCTACTTCGCTGTCTGCACTCGTGAGTTGTATAGCACAGGGTGTAATTTTTAAAGTTGCCTCAGACAATCAAATTCAAATATAAAATATTGCCGTCCAAAGTTAAACTAAAGTAAATGGCGGATTGAATTAAAGCTTGCATGGGTTACTGTTTGCCCATTCGATCAAAAGTTAAACATTCAAAGCTTTGAAAAATAGAACTCATTAATTTTTCCATGTTGTTTTTGGATTCTCGGTCAAGAACAAACTTTTTGCAATGTAGATCGAGGAGCAACCTTCGATAAGGATTGTATCGCTGGTTTAATGTGACTGTTGATGTAGGGTAGAGTGTTGAAAAGCAGGATAGAAAATCCTAGGAAATATTGGCTTTGGGAAGATTGAATTGAAGTAGTGTGTAATATTGGACCAATTGTAGAACACTAAACAATGTTTTACGGCGATTACAAAATCACGCTCAATTGAAAGTGATAAGTGGAGCTCCATGTTTCAGCCCATGGTTACCGAATAGTTTTTGCGACTTAAAGCAGCGCTAACTAGTATTTTTTGGTAATTTCTAAAAATTTCAAAGATGAGCAGCCAACTAACATATTACAGGACCAGTAAAGCCCACTCTGTCTCTGGCAGATGTCAATTCTACGTATGTTTCGATAAACCATGTCCAACCGAATTCACCGCACCACACAATTGAGCTTCTTTTGGATCCCCCGGACGGAGTGCTAGTATCTCATCTCAATGGATCTACAATTTCTAACTTGACCCCAGGCACTGCGTATGTTTTGACCGTTCGCGTGAACATGAGTTCGGATGTGTGTAGCGCGATGCGAGCTGAGTCTATGGCAAATGAAGCGACATTGAGTTTCTGCACAGGTGGTTAAGACCGAATGGTTCTATGATACAATATTCAAAGCTTCCATGATGTAATATCGTCACCAATGAAAATACTTTTGTCTTTCCGTTCAAATCAGTTATTGCATTAGCTTATTATGATGTGAAAAAGAATTTTTTTTAAAGTTTAAGAACTTCGTGACTACAGGGTCTTTTGAAAGAAAATAACATACAAGGAATTTGATTGATGTTTACAGTTTCAAAGCCTCCGGCTCCGAACTTTGATGACCCCAACATAAGATACACTGCCAAAAACACTTCGATCACCATAAACGACGGAGGACTAGGCACTGTGGGGTCACCTTCAGGCAGTGTGGGTGTGAACAACTACCACTTTGTGGCCTCTGATCCGTCGGGTGGAGTTGCTGAAGGATGGGTGAAGGTGGGCGACCCTATGACAGTGACAGGACTTTTACCTGGTAGGGTGTATTCGGTCAAAGTGATCGGCCAACTGAACTCTTCTTCTTGTGGAAATGTGAATGGAACAGAGGAAACTGTGATCAGGGATCTCTGTACAGGTTAGTCATAAGCATTTTTAAATTTAAAAAGTATAAAGTTAAGCATGAAAAAATAGGTGAACGTCGACAAGTTAATCCTTTATTGACACAAACAAAAAAAGGAAGCGGAGCAATAAGGAGAATGGTTTAAGAGCAGAAAGGGTCCAAGAGCAGAAAACTGAAAAAAAGGACTTTCAAAAGCAATTCGGTAAACCAAGTATTCGATTTGTAAAAATTACCAAAGAAGCGATTAGATTATGCATAAATTAACTAATTTGATCAAACTTTTTCATAACCAATTCAATTACTCAATTAATTCATGATTCGTGTGTTTGATTGGCAGTGTTGACGATTCGGGTCTTTTCTGTTAAGCGGTCCAAATTACTAAAAGGTTGATTGAGACAATATGTTTGAACTTACAAACTTTCCTTTCGGATTTGTTAATTAATCCAATCAGAATCAATAATTTTGCAATTTTGATAATAGCAAAATTTTTGGGTCATACAACAGAAAATACTAGACGACTCTTATACTTGCTTTATCGATCAGCTCATTGAATGGCAACGTTTCATTTGTACGAGTGAGGTTGGTAAGAAAATCGTGAAAATGATTGTACGCGACGCCCTAAACTGCGGCCCCGACTGATGAAATGGGCAGTGGATGATTTGCAGTCATTGGTGCAGAGCCTGAAGGGGGAATGAAATGTATGATGTTTGTTTGCGTTTCTTACTTTGATCCTCCGACGTTTCATCTTTGTTAAAGTCTAGCTCCTCTTAGAATTTGCAAAAATTACTAGCCGCCAGCTTCTAGCGTTTAGTTGTTCTGAGTATAGAATTGTTGGGTCAAATTTGTGTATTTTCGCCGCTTGTTTTTTTTAAGTTTGTTTCTTGCAGTCTTGCAGCTTGAGTTTAATGTTCGCACATTAAATCTTCAAACTTGAGGGCTTTGCCGGAGGTACCATTTCAACCGAATTGTGAAATTGTTCAAACTTTCCAGTAAACTTGAGTTAAAGGGGTTAAAAGAGTTGAAAAGGTTGATGTCATCAGTTTTTAGCTAGTGTTTTATGGGGTTTCATTTTATGAGTTTGCTGATTACTCAAGAGTTTCTTAGATATTTTTTGAACCTTTGGGCGGGAGTTGTTTTGAGCTGAAGGATTAGAGCTTTTGTAACTGGCATACAAAAAATAGGAGTTAGAGCTGTGTGGGCTATAGAATTCTCGATGATGCTCTTTGAGACCCCCCGAGTCGATTGCAACTGAAATGAACTCGCCCTCAACTAACACTCCCTTTATTGCTCTTCTTGGCTTTGTTGCACGGAAATCAAGTATATCGGGTTCGAGGTTCGGATAAATCCGGAATGAATGGAGGTGGAAACCGAAAGCCAGGTTTCGCAAGCATTCTGCATTCCTTGTTGACGTGAGGTTCGAATTGTGTTATTTGAACACGGTGTTATTGAGCACATGAAAGCAGCACACCTGAATCATGAATTAATTCATCATCTTCTTCTGGTGGGATTAGATGAGATTAAAATTTTGTTAGTACAAATTCAGTTTTTAACCTACTTTCCAGTAGCTGGTCAAACTTAAAATATCACAGTTTTCATTTTTTCAAACCAAGCAAAACCTGATTCTTCTCTTGATACTTTGGAAGCTTTTCTTTGAGGAAGATGAGTAATGAGGGGCTAATTTTAGCTTTTGATTAGCTTTTTGATCGTTCATAAAAAAACTGTGATATCCTACGAGGTATCGCGTTGGAAAACTAATTGATAATTCAAGAATGTATTAACTTTTGCTTGAATAAATGGTTTTTCTTTTGTTTTAGTTAACTACTGAGAGTACTCCAGCAGTTGATACTCTAAGCTCTCAGCTGTGTGCCAATGTCTCTGATCTAATGACCTTGGACACCACATCTAATAATAAATAAATAATAACACCGAAGGTTATTGTTACATCATCCTATTACTGCTATTGCAGTGGCGGTATGACATACCCCATCGAGTGAAAATGAATTTTTCTGATACAAAAAATAATTAATACTATCAAGAGTTTTAGACACTCAATTCTTTTAAAAGTTTGTGATTTTGAATTGCACAGTTTTCTATTTCTCAATTTCTTCTAGATCAATTCTCCAGCTGGGATTCCAGTCCACTCCTTTTTCCAGAGTAGCATAGCCGATTTTCCTTCTGAATAGATGTCTCTCTAGAAGGCATAATTTCAACTCTGTTGGTCTGTCATTTCGTTCTTTAAACTCCGTTAGCCGTCGTCTATATTCTTGTAGTGCCACTTGTAGGAGTGCTCCCCCTGATAATTCCTCCGAGACTTCCTTGATTTAATGTTTTACTGGATCACCAAAGCGTTTTGGATCCTTGCTCTTTGTCTGTCTTGAGCTCCATCTAACCGCTGCGTCTTCCACGCTGGAGTCGTCTGATGCCCCTAAAGAGGTTCGAACTTTTCATCTCAGTCAGAGGCTGACTGATTTTCCCCCTAAGTTCGTCTGCGACTTTCTGTACTACCCCTCTTAAGTACTTGATCTGCCAATTTTTCCCACTCTGCTGGATGGTGCTTTTCTGTCCGAGTTAGCTGCAGCGGCAGTTTGTTTGGTCGATGGTTCCGGCTCATCGTCTTGTTTCTTGGTCTTCGATTTTGTCTCCATTTCCTTTAGTGCGACCTCTACCTGAGTTACCGGATTTACAAAGTCTGCTAGCTCCACCTGCCGGCGCAGTTTTTTTTTATCTGAGTCGATGTCTTCCATAATTTCGGGAGAACTGATCCTCTGTATTTTTTCTTGGTGTTTCCGCTGATGTGCTTTTTCTAGCTCCCTGGGTTTGGTCTTGCTGTAGATTGATTTTCGCTTGAGCGATACCAGATTTTCTGTAAATTGAACCTGCCGACGTTTTTACTGTCGATCCTGTTTCCGGTGTTATTCTTCCCTTTAATGGTTTAGTGAGCGCTTCTCCACTCTTCCATAAGTCTTCTTTGCGCAGAATTGTCTTTTTCGGAGACTGTGTATTCTCCTTTTCTTTATCTTCGATGAATCCCTTTTCCCACGAGTAGATCATCTTTTTCCGGAGCTCCGAGTTTGATTGTACTGTAGCGTCTACGATTCTTCAAATGTCGTGTTTCTCTGCGTTCTACGCTCCTAATTCCCACGAGCGTTTGCCTACAGTAACTCTTTAAGGGCTTTTGCTTGCTGACGGTCCCGATCTGAGTGCACTTGCTGCTTTTACAGTGGGCCGGTATCCCCGCTGAGTTCCCCCTTTCGTACTCTCTTCAAGTTCTCTCTTGATTGGTCGAACCTCCGTTCGAGTGGTGACGCTGTCAATGCCGATAGTTCCAAGTGCTGTTTGTCTACATTGTCAGAGTTAGTTATAAACTTGTCACGTAGGATCTTAAAATCATTTTTCGGAAGTCTGCCAAAATGTGCCTGAAATGGTGATACTTAAATAGTTTTCTGCTTGTTCACCGTAAGTCCAGCATTATGGTACTGAGGCACAGTTTAATCGATCGTTTAATTTCTTCTAGTAATATTACCCCCAATCTTCGTTTTATTGCTTATATAGTTCATTCTGCTAGTCCGCAACCCCGATGGTCACCCACTGGACAGAATTTTCGTTCATGATTGTGCTCAGCACAAACATTTTGAGTGTATTTCCATTAAATCTCAAAAATTGGTCGGATTGCATTGATTCCGGAATGCCATGTATGTCTATGTAAGATCGCAAAAATGTTACCGTACACTTTCCACTTGTTGATTTAGTGAATTGCTACTAGAAGATTTGTTTTTCCCCTGTGATTTTCTAACGGTCCCGCATAATCTAATTACACTTCTTGAACCTGCTGCGTTAGCAGTGGCAGCGGTTTTGACGAGTTTTTTGGAATGGTGTACGGCCATCTGTGACCACAGCGGATTGGTATAGGGTCCCATCAGCTCGAATGCTTGTTTATTTCCCCGTTATATGACTCGTCTGAGTCGAATCATCCAAGTGCCCTCTGATGCCAACTCTGCTAGGTGGCTTTTGTCATCCATTTTGGAAAGATTGTCTAATGGGTCTTCTGTGTGCTGTCTTTGAAGCTTCTGTTTGTCTTTTTGTCTATGAGCTTGTTTTCTGAGTGGCTCGATTGCGCATACATCTTGTTCCTCGTCCATTTCGTCTGTTGTCGTAAGGTCCACTTCGATCACCTGCACATCACTCAGTTTTCTATCATCTGTTTGAGCCGGCTGGATGCTTATTGGCACTGGTACGCTCTCCTCCATTGCTGCCTCTAGTTCTCGGTTGATGTTTCGTGGAGTGCTCGACTCCCCCAATCAATTGCCATAATGATAGTAGCCTGCTGTCCGCCTCTTTCTGTTGGTCTTGTGACAGTTGCCATTTTACCCTCGACTGGTTTCTTGTTTCACTATCCGAGCTGTCTCTATTTTTCCGACTCCCTCGAAATTTTTTTCTTGTTCGTTGTACTGTTTCTGTGACCTCCTCTACTTCCGACAGTTTGTCTGTGTTAGACAATGGTAGATTCCACTTCGGGTCTAGGATGCTCTCTTCCCTTTCTTCGTTCCTCCATTCCTGTGATGTATCCGACCACCAGTCGTATGATCGGTTACAGCTTCTTTCTGACATCTCCTTCCGTGAGTCTGTTTTTAAATTGTTTTGATTCGTTGAATTTTTGACTGTTTTGGCAGTTTAATGATACGACTGTTTGCTGGATTGGAAGGAAGATAAAATGATATGTTTTCTTGGCGAGCTGCTGTTTGGCTGTTTGGACGGTCGCGAAAGTTGATTTATTTTGTTCCTGTCGAGCTTTGCTCTCTTTTGACCATTTTGGTTGCCCCAGCAACCACTAAGTGATGACTGTTTCGCTATATTCCTTCTAGATTATTCTAGAAGCTTTTCGTTCCGGTTCAGCGACCCAGTGTTTTCTAGCCTACTGTTAATGCAGTCTAAAGCTTTGTGAAAGGAGTTAATTGTTGCTACAACAAATTTTTCGTCTAATTCGGATTCGGGCCAAGGGGCATTATATGGATCACGCAATAAATAATGGACGATCCCCATGTCCTTCCCTGGATTGTGAAAGACTTTAAAATGATAGGGTAGTAGTCGATTAACCCACCGGGTCAACCGTGATTGGTATGTTTTATTTGATTTGTTCGTCTATGGCTGAAGTTAAGGCTTTGTGATCTGTTGCGATGATAAATTCAATACCCAATGGGTAATGTTTGTATCTATCAACTGCCCAAACAACTGCAATTTGTTCTAGTTCGTTTTTTGAGTTTTTCCATTAGCCAAACCATATTAGTAGAGTCTCCCGATTATCCAAACCATAGAATCCTAGAAGAATCTATATGTCCCTGTAGCCTTTCCCCCGACGATATTGAAGTTGTTTGGCTGTGGTTGCAGCCAATTTTAACTGACCAAACGAATATTTCAGATCTAACACTGTGAAGTAGAGTCTAACCTCTTTTTTTCTGTAACTTTTTGGTTTACCTCATCAATGAGTTTGTCTACATTGCGCATTTGATACTGATTTTTGAACAGTTGTCTGTTTATTGGCTTTGCATCGAGTGCCAATTTTATCGAACCATCCTTAATTTCACTGTTATTACAGTTGGAGCTATGAAACAATGCTTGTACACTGGTCCAACTTTGCAATGTGACTCTCTGTCAGCAGTTTTTGGTTTCTTTTTCTACCTTATTTTGTATATGAATTGGCATTCTTCTCCCTTTTTCTTGAATCGGGCACAAAGGGTACTTTAGTTTTGAGTTTACTTTGTGATTTTTGAGATTTTTGAGGACGTCAAACGTTGACAGTTCTTTTTGGTTTCTGTGTGGTTGAGATCCTCACTTGTCCTTGTAGGTCCAATCCCATTTTGCATCTAGTTTTTCGTTCCGTTACCAGAAACGTGGCTCCTTTTACCTCCGAGCCTGCAGATCGTAGATTTGTCTTTAACGCCCCTAACACGCAGATCGTTTGTTTTTTGTAGTCTACAATTAGAGTAGCCAAATTTAGTTTTTCAGCCTGAATGAATCTTGCTTTGTTCGATTTATTGATTATCTCCTTTGTAGTCGACCAATTTAGAAAAGATACTGGGCTTCCTGTATCTACTGTCAATTGATTTATTCGATTATCTACTCGCAACATGGCCCTTAAAGGTTTTACTTTATTTGATGTTGGGTCTTTAAGTAGGTCAATTTTTTGAACTCTCACACTTTTACCAACTAATTGTCTGTTGCTTTCGTTGATTCTGTCCCCCTTATAATTTGAATTTCTTTCGCCCTCCAGCCGATGTGGTTGTATTGACATTACTTCGAAATCACTACATGAACCAAAATCTTCTCTTATAAAATCGCTTTCCTCTTCCAATCTTTTCGAATCTTCCGTGACTTCGCTCACTTGCTGAGACCTGCAGATTTTTGCGAAATGATTGGGTTTTCTACAGTTTTTGCAAGTTTTACCAAATGCCGCGCAACTTTTCATTTGCTCCTGATCAAATGCACGTCCGTATCTTTTACATGGTTTTGCTTGACCACTGGGTCTGTTATTTTTTGGTCGTTTATTGTTTTCTCTCTTATACTGTTGTTTTCTTGTTCTTTCTGTCGAATTTCTTACAGCCATCACTGGTTTATTGTTTTATCTTTACACCTGAGTTGTAAAAAGTGCTCGCTCCTACAGTTGCTGCTGCATTCGTCTTTTGAAACGCCAATGTATTTAATTTACTATGTTCGAATTTTATGGCTCTCTTTAGTACCTCTTCAGGTTCTAAAGTTTTGAATGTTAGCGTTTCTTTCAGCGTCATGTTTTTCATTTTGGATATGAACAAGTCTGGAACGACTTCTACTTCAAGTGCCTCTAACTCTTACCTGGCTGCTTGCGCAGTTAGCGCCGCGTGAAATGCCTCAAACGGTTCCCCTGGCTCTTGCATTCTTGTGAACAGTTTGTATCTTTCGTATGTTAGGCACTTAACTTTTTGGAATGATACCGATGCTAATTCCGTGATTTCCGTAAATGATATTTTAGAAATCTCAGCATGTGGATTTTTCTGCAGGAGTCTTTTCTTTCCTTCAGTTCCAAGAGAGAGAAACACTCTTGATACAAGCTTCTTCTGTACCTCATTGTAATAAACATTGTGGCCAACCCTTGGACCCCGTGTTCTTCTCTCCTCATTCTCCAGCATAACTCGATCTCTTGCTAATTTGTCTCTGAGCTTTCTGGCTGTCGTCGCAGCTTCCTCTTCTCCCTCTCGTGGTGTCTCGGGTCGTGGTGGCGGACCTTCTAAATATCTTTTGGATCCTCCAGCATAACTTCTGTGTTTATATTTTTTTTACGGTTAATGGCTTTAGAAATTGTTCTAGCCAGATTTTGAATTGTCACGGTGTGTCTAGATTTGCTGTCGCCCAAGATTTTGGTATTTCCTTGTAAATATGATTGTCCTGAGATGGTTGGAAAACTAATTGGTAATTCAAGAGTGTATTCTCTTTTGCTTGAATAAATTGTTTTCTCTTTTAATTTAGTTAGTCACTGAGAGTAATCCAGCAGTTGATACTCTGAGCTCTCAGCTGTGTACCAATGTCTCTGATCTAATGACCTTGGACACATCTAATAATAAATAATTAATACCACTGAAGTTTATTGTTACATCACCCAATTACTGCTATTGCAGTGGCAGTATGACAAGAACCAAAAGGAAGAGCAGTTGATTCTTGGGATCGTTTTTTTTGAGACAATTCATTTTGTGAAACTCAAATGCGACAAAAATGATTCAAGTTGACTTATCCGTCAACAGCATTCGTCGCTTACATAACGTAACTGACTCTGTGAAGAAAAGAAACGCGCTTGAATACAAAGTTCTCACTCATCACCCGTGATTCGTACAAAAAAAGTCTCTATTGTGTTGACCTGTGCTTTTTTTGCTGCCTTCTTAAAACTAAAACTTCTAAAAAATGATTTTCTGAAAATTTTTGCGGAATCCAAAACAGCAGAGAAGATCAAAGAAAAGTAGCTATGTCCCGGAATCCGCGGCAAACCTGATTTTGGCCTGTTATTGATTCCGCTTACAATGCACAGAATGCACAGTTTGGCCTCGTAATGCTTTTCAGAAATGTTTTGAAATTTCAAAAATGTCTAAAATAATTTTGCTGGTGAAATTATATGATTACAGAGTTTCACAAGAACAGTAAGGTCCTTTCACAGGAAAAATTCAGAAAACAGGTCATCCCGAGCTTCTAGGATCAAAATTAGCACTGTCTATGTAGCCGTTACACGATTAAGCTATATGATTAAAATTTGAAACATTTTGAAAAATGCTTAACGAAAGTTTTTCTTTTTCTCTTGATTCACCCAGGACTAATTTCACGGCCTTCAAACGCAATAAAGAAGTGCATTTATATCAGCGATGTGTGTCTTTATTGGCAAATGTCCGCAGATAGGTTTTAAATATTTCGAAACGTATTTCCTCAGTCTAATTATTCATCGGTCGGAAACTTTGCATGGTCGAGTTTGCTCGAAAGGTTTTCTCTATTCGAACACAATCGAAACCAGTGGCGTATCGAGGACAGATGTCCTCAATTCTGACCAAACTTTTATTTCTTATTCGGTACTGTTTTACGACGTCCATTTTTAGTTGACCAACCCTATGTGTTTTATAATGGCGCCTTTAGCGCCAATTTTACTAAATTTTTGTGGAGTGCACGCTGAAATAAATCCAGACGGAAATTTTTGGTCGAAGTGTTTCTTAAAATGCAGCAAAATGTCTTATTGGCCTGTGTTTCTTTGAAAAAATTGCCTGAGTTTTGGTCGAAACATAAAAAGTGAATCTCAATCTTGGAAATTTAATGCTCGCCGCTGAAGCAAAACAGACATGTGCGTGACCCAATTCTCTTTCAAACTTCCATGAAAAAACTTAAGCAATTGCACTCATCATACTTTAAAAGTTATACATTTTCGGAATTGATTTGAGAATTTTGTTAATCTTGATTTTTTATTCAAACTTCCCACCTGTCATTTGAAGGGCAATATATTTATGTTAAGAGTTTGTAGGGTAATTGGTTTTTTGTTATGATTTTTATATTCATAATGGCTATTATACCAATTTTGTTGTTAAAAAGTATGTATATCTAGTAAAATTCTGTGATTGAGTATGTTTTCCAATTGTTCAAGTTCCGTCGCCTCCGAATATGGATGATAATTATGCACTGCATGATTACGACGGTACAACTCTTAGAATATATCAACTCTATATACGATCACCTGCAGGCGAGAGACGTGACAATCTCAAAGTGGTGTCAGTGCACCCTGCCCCAAACACACCCTTCAATCCAATTACATCTAGTGACAACTATATCTATATTCAGAATTTGACAGCTTCAACCAGATACACAGTGTCGGTAGTGTCTACCCTGGGTGGAAATAGGAGTGATGTTACTTCATGCAAGACTGCAGTCTCTGATCCACTGGAGAGCCAAGTGGTACAGGCTGTGGCATGTACAAGTGAGTATGTTATTCATGTGCATATTTATTAATGGAGTTTTTTATCGATGAGATGAAATACCGCAAAACGACCAGGTCTGATAACTCAAAAAGAGACACCGGCTCGACCCAAGCGCATCGATTATTTCTGTGACGTGTCAACTTATTACAAACTTAAACGGAAGATAAACGCCAAAAAATTTGATTTAATTGTTCTCAGCAAATCCTTTGCCTATCTGCTCTGGATTAAATGATCAGATCTGTTTGTTAAATCCGACCAAAAGTTTTGTCCAATTTGTTGCAAACTTCATGTCTTCGAATTATCTAGATCGTTGAACGGCTTTAAATAAGTCAGTCGCTATGCCCAATTTATACATACGACTATATATAAAGCATATGCCCATTTTCATACGGCTATGTACATTACAGTCGAATAAATACCAGCTCTATTAGCTTCTAAAATGTGTTTTTTGGCAACATAATTTTTCGAAATTTGCAAAAATTTGAAAAAATTTATTTTCAAATGAGTTTATTTTGTAGTTTCTAAGGTTGATTCAATGACAAGGGTTAACAGCCTGGTTTTGAGAGGTCGCAACGAAATTTGTTCCCTCCGTTTTCTCGCTTTCAAAATTTGAGCTGTGAAAGTTTTCCTGTAACGTGGTTATAACCGAGAAAACCCCATATATGTAGTCTATTTAAGGGAATATTGTACAACATGTTGCATTTTTGCTAATTTTTGAAATACTTATCACTAAGCAAAAAAACTATGCAGTATATATATTATAAGCAAGTGATGAGTATCAGATGCAATCCCTAATTTTCGACATTTTGAGGTCTGATTGGTATCTACTTCATTTGTGGTGTTCTGAGTGTAATTGACCTGGGTAGTGTTTTAGGACCCCCTCCAGCGAATGTGACTTGGGAGAGTAATGCGACGAGTATAACATTTACATTGCAGACCCCTCCTCATCAGTTCGACCAATGGTTTCTGTGGATCTATGGCTGGTTTTACGAGGGTTCCACTTTCGCTTTTTTGAACTCATCTCAGTCTACATACACATTCGATGGACTCACTTACGGAGAGACTTTTGAGATTCCTGTAGCATTGTCTATAGGCGTAGATGGATTTACAGATTGTGGTCCAATGGGAACAGCAGACAGTTATTCTTACAGATATGCTTCAACTGGGTGCAACAGTAAGTCCAACTTTTGATTAAAACATTTAATAGCGAGTGATCAGATTTTGAGCAAAAACTTATATAACGAATCAAGAAAAGGGTCAATATAGATCAATTTTGAACTCAAAACATGCAAGGAAATCAAAGAGTTTTTTTGATATTTTGGTCGTTTTGCTATAATACGCTACATTTTTGGTCATTATGCTACAATACGCTACGGATGTAAAATGAAAAATGATAGGCAATGAATAAATGCAATAAAAATTGAAACTGATAAAACTTGAATGAAAAAAATCCATTTAAATCCGTTTTAATCCCCTTAAATCCATTTTCCAGTCTTAATTTGTTTTTAAATCAACTTAAAATCGATTTCGATCAATTTTTGTAGCTGGGATTTACGATCAATTTACATCAATTTTAAATCGATCCAAATCAATCTTTATCTTTTTTGTTAATCTTCGAACTTTTTTCATACTAAAATCAATCCTAATCCATTTTTCTCAGTGCGGCAACTTTCTAACCTCCCCTAAACCCACCCCTACAGGAATCCACTTTAAATTGTATTACGCTAGCAATACTATTTACGTCGGACAAAACGCTTGCTAAGGAATAAAGGGTCCTTTCTACTTTCTATCTTAGAAAGTAAAACTAAAATTCGCTGAGAAATATTTTATTAAAAAAGAAGTTAGTATGAATTTACAGCAAGTTGCCTTTTGACTCAATATCTATTTTAACGGTGAGATTAGAGATATTTTTACTGAGAGTAGATATTATTTTAGAAATTGGTTGGGGTGGTAGAAGAGAGTGGTGTTGGTGTTAGAAGAGATATTGTTGGGATATTAGAGAGGGAGGTTGTAGTGTTAGAAGAGATATTGTTGGGAATGAATTCCCGTAGTTTTGAGCTTCTATTTATACTCAGATGGGGAAATCACGCCACTTTTTGTATCAAATGAGAAGTTACTTCTTAACTTCGTATTCTCTATTCGTACATTCGTATTTTACGAGAAGAAGGTTTCGTATGCTCGTATTTTACGAGAGGAATCGTTAATATTCGCTTTGAATGAGAATAGTCGTTTCAATTCTCAATGCTTAAAACGTTATACGAATTATTCCAATAGCATTATTTCCCTTCCTTTTGCAAGGGAATAAAAACATATTTCTTTTGGTGGTGGCGGTGGCGTCACATTTTGTGAACGCAATAAAATAATTCATGTTTCTGTTTCTATTTGAAATCGGAACATATCCATCCTCCTATTTGGAGAGGAAAAAACTGAAACTTTCATTTTTATTACTTTCACTTGAATAGTGGGGTAATTATTGATCGATCGAAGCTTTTTCTTTCAATCTCATAAAGTTGGTTCAATAGTTTGTTGGTATTACAGGTAGCAGATGTTTTTGAACAACTGATACTTTGAGTCAGGCTTGAATGAATATAAACACATCAGTTACATTTATAAATCAAAATAGAGTTAACACAACCAAGGGATTTAACTATAAAATAAAATACATCAAAATTATTTGTTTCTCAAAAGTTTGAAGGTTAGTTTTATTCCTTAAACATTCTTTTTCCGAAGTCTCCTTTTCTTCCTGAAGTATGTGAAGTCTGTCCAAGCGCGTAATAAGGGGAGGGCTGGTTCATACAAAGGGGGTATTTTTTGTGTTTTTTGTTTTTTATAAAAGTCAAAATTGTTGAAAGGAAATTAATAGCTATACTACATAGCTATATAAAGAATAAATGTTTAAAGGATAAACTTTTTACAATTTTCCTTCCATCCGGGCTATAAAATGGTGATTTTTTGTTTTCAAATTGTGGATTTGCTTTTTCAGCTCCCGGATTTGAAGCGTTTCATCGATATGACTGCGCTGAATTTGCTCAGTATAGTCATCTAACGGGGGGGTTTGTAATTTTGCTGTCAGATATTTTGCTGGGACATAGATTTTTTGATATTCAAGAAGGGAATTAGTTATGGAATACGTTTTTTTATAGGGTGATAGGCTTCTAATTTAAAACGATTGATTAATGGATTCAAAGCATAATTGAGATCCATATCGAAGCCGGGATTACTGTTAGAATTAATGTATCGTTCCCTTTCTAACTGAATATGTAATTTAGTGTTTAATTCAGTGGGGTGCAAGGGCTGTCGCCTAATGGTCATTGGATATTGAGAAATTGATACCGGCGTATTTGCCGTTAGTATCTTATATGGTTTTACAATCTGGGTTCGCTTTTTAATTTTGGAATTCGAGGGAACCAGGGGTATTTTGAAATCAGGGGGTGAAATTTTTAGGGCTGGTGGCTTTGATGCTGTAGTTATTGGGACAGCTGAATTGGTTTGAAGTAGTGGCTCAACGAAAGATCGTGTTGAGGTCGGCTTTGCAGTGGGTGTTGTAGTAGTAGAAACAGTTGGTTGTTGAGTGAGTGCTGAAATCTGCGAGTCCAGTGGATCGGTTGGTGGCAGGAGTGAGAGAAGATCCTCAAAATCTCTCAAGTCGTCATCAAGTGTTGCGTCCATAGTTGAATCAGTTGGTATATCCTAGAACAGTAGAATTTTTTTTTTTATTAGACTGGGTTTGTTGGGTGATCCAAGTTTTGAGTTCTTCTCTCAAAACTTGTTAATTGGATATGAGGATACATGCGATCCTGGTTTATTTTATCAATTTCCTCTAAAAGAGGAGCTTGTATTTTTTGATCACAATCTTGTTGTATTTTTTCAGTTTGCTCATCTTGAGTGAAAATTGAGGTCACTATGGAAGTGAAAAGTATAATATATGAAGCGGCAAGCAATACTTTGCCAAAATGTAGTGAGCGGCCGGTGATTTTGTGAATATGCATAGCCTTTATTATGAATACTAGGCAATCTAGTATGAATTTCACAAATAGAAAAGAGGCGAAGACTATTCCGCATTTTTCTAAATAGTATTGTACTTTCCCGAATATACGGGTGTATTCGTTTTTCCAAAAGTTTGGAGAGATGAGATAGTCCAAATATATTGTTTGGGAAGAGCCTAGTGGGCTATATGAGTCCTTGAAAAGAATTTTTTAGCATTTAGAAAGGACCTGGTGTGACATTCGACCAGAATGGCCAAAATGCAATCTCTGCAGACTTCGAAATTTTAGCAGTGAACCTTCCGAGTTAATGATTTTGAAGGATTAACGACGTTATTCGGATGATTAGCAGAACGGTGAAGGTCAGGATATTCCCGTATTTTAAAATTTTAAATTTTTGAAGTGATGACGTAACATTTCTGAGAAATGCTGAAACGGCCATTTTAACAAAAAACGAGAGAGAAAACACAACAACATTAGTTGCGCTGACGATAACAACGATAATCGTGATTGAAAAACAGCAGCAGATTGCAGGAATAGCAGAGAACGTTCCGAGTTGCAACTATTGTGCTGCTACAATAGTTGCAAGGCCGTTGCGAGCAACGGTGAAGGGTGAGAAACCAGCCTTCCGGATTAGGAGGAAATCAAGATTAGCGAACTTGATTCAGTGGATTCAAGATTTCGGAAGGGTTTCGGGACTGAAACTTTTAGCCTGTTATAAAAACTTTTAGCTTCCTGTCATGTCCTGACTTGAATTGAATTAATATTTGGATTCATTTTGATAAGGATGAGAAGCTAGGAGTTGGGGGAAAGGGTTGATCCATCTTCGATGGAGATGATGATTTTTATCTACTGAACAAAAACAATAGTAATATAATAAATAGTAGCCCTGTTTTTAGGAGTGACCTCGTGGTCTGGGGATACTGAGACCCAGCCATGAGCTCACTATTTGCATGTAATTAAGTTAATTTGAGCGTTCTGGTCGAAGCCGGAGAACAGTAACGTTTTTGTCGACCCGATGTTGGAAAGACCACCGAAAAGTACTGGCTTGGTAGAGACGGTGAAAAGCATGCAAAGCTCTGTTTAGACGCTAGCCAGTCGTCTTAAGACTTAGTTTTGTTATCCGTCGATATGTATCTTCCGGGCGAATGTTACATACATGTTTTTATGGCGCTCCTGGGTGTTATTCTTTTTAACATCATGACCGGCAGAACCGTTGACGAGCACTCCGCGCCGAGCGGATGCTCACATTAACGCCCTTAATAGGCCTAAATTGCCGGGGCGGAAAAGGTAGTTCGGAACGCGGAAGCCTTCCGGATTACCGTGAATAGTTTTTTAACCTAGTTAAGACCGAAAATTCACGAACCAGGAAGGGTGGGGGGAATCGCGAACCCCTCATCCCCTGAGTGGTTGGTGACCAAAAACACTTAAAGATATAAGTAAAACCAAACAAAAAGTAGTATAGTATCGAAGAAAAACAAAAAACATAAAAAAATAACCGAAAAAACCAAAAACAGTAAAAAAAAAAGTAAAAAATCAGTAGAAATCATCCCCCCAGACAAGATGTGATCCAACCCCCCCGTTTGTTGTTGATAGATATATTGTTGTTACAGGCATTTATATCAGTCAGGATTGTTACGATCAGTTTTGTAGCCCGTTTGTGAGGCTTGTACTGTAGGGTTATTTGAGCATTTAAGCACGTTAATGATAAATTGCGCTCAATCCGGAAGGGTCAGCTGATTTGCGCTCAATTCGGAAGGGTCTTGGGTGAGGACCGATCCGGCAAGCAGTACAAGGAGCAACAAGAAGGGGCTCAACGACAACAACAATCGACTGTTGGGTATCGTTAACAAGTTTTGTATCCCTTTTGGTACAAAAAGTAAGATAGTAATCTGTGGGGGGCTCGACAGTGCTGCACTGTAGTGACCCTTCACCGAACTGCGAATATCCGAGTTAAGCACCTTAATTCGGATAGTAAGGAAACCCGGAGGGGTATAGTATTACTGATATTATTATTTATATAGCCTATATTAATAGTCTTATATCATTTTTCAGTGAAAAACAACGAAAACAGACCGGTTTTTAGGGTCAAAATAGCGATATTTTGATCCCCCCACAAGTCGCGATTTTTGAGATATCGATATTTTTTGAAACAGAAAAAAGCGCTAAGTTAGTGTGTTACATCGTAACT